GTGGAATACTCATTCAGATGTATGATAGATATGGAATACTCATTCAGATGTATGATAGATGTGGAATACTCATTCAGATGTATGATAGATGTGGAATTCTCATTCAGATGTATGATAGATGTGGAATTCTCATTCAGATGTATGATAGATGTGGAATTCTCATTCAGACGTGTGATAGATGTGGAATACTCATTCAGATGTTTGATAGATATGGAATACTCAGAAGTATGATAGATATGGAATACTCAGATGTATGATAGATGTGGAATACTCATTCAGATGTATAATATATGTGGAATACTCATTCAGACGTGTGATAGATGTGGAATACTCATTCAGACGTGTGATAGATGTGGAATACTCATTCAGATGTATGATAGATGTGGAATTCTCATTCAGACGTCTGATAGATGTGGAATACTCATTCAGATGTATGATAGATGTGGAATACTCATTCAGATGTATGATAGATGTGGAATACTCATTCAGATGTATGATAGATGTGGAATACTCATTCAGATGTATGATAGATGTGGAATACTCATTCAGATGTATGATAGATGTGGAATACTCATTCAGACGTGTGGTAGATGTGGAATACTCATTCAGATGTATGATAGATGTGGAATACTCATTCAGACGTGTGGTAGATGTGGAATTCGCATTCAGACGTGTGATAGATGTGGAATACTCAGACGTGTGGTGGATGTGGAATACTCATTCAGATGTATGATAGATGTGGAATACTCATTCAGACGTGTGGTAGATGTGGAATTCTCATTCAGACGTGTGATAGATGTGGAATACTCATTCAGATGTATGATAGATGTGGAATACTCATTCAGACGTGTGGTAGATGTGGAATACTCATTCAGATGTATGATAGATGTGGAATACTCATTCAGATGTATGATAGATGTGGAATACTCATTCAGATGTATGATAGATGTGGAATACTCATTCAGACGTGTGGTAGATGTGGAATTATCATTTGATGACATTATTTACTCTGATTAACCCAGATTAATGTGTCGTGACTCAGATTGATAATGGTTTGACAAAGATTTATATTGGATTTATTCAGATTCATGGTAGATCGATTTATATTTTTATGGTTTTACTTAAATTTACGATGGATCGACTCAAATCCATAATGGATTGACCCAGATTTATGGTGTGTGTAGTCGATAAAACATAATATTCTAGGAATTACTCGATCGTAAATTTCTAGTGATTTTAGAGTCTTCCTGTAATTCTTTTAACCTCGTTTCGTCGCTTTTGAGTTTGATAAAATAAATTGTTTACATGTCAAAATTTTCGAGTTATGGTTGTAGAGACATGCATCTCCCCCACGCTTTCGGTTATATAGGTGGTAAGTAGCCTAAGACACGGATCTCTCCAAGGCTTTCGGTTGTATAGGTGGTAAGTAGCCTAAGACACGGATCTCTCCAAGGCTTTCGGTTGTATAGGTGGTAAGTAGCCTAAGACACGGATCTCTCCAAGGCTTTCGGTTGTATAGGTGGTAAGTAGCCTATGGATCTCTCCACTTTCGGTTGTATCTATAGGTGGTAAGTAGCACGGATCTCTCTCTCCAAGGCTTTCGGTTGTATAGGTGGACGTAGCCTAAGACACGGATCTCTCCAAGGCTTTCGGTTGTATAGGTGGTACGTAGCCTAAGACACGGATCTCTCCAAGGCTTTCGGTTGTATAGGTGGTAAGTAGCCTAAGACACGGATCTCTCCAAGGCTTTCGGTTGTATAGGTGGTACGTAGCCTAAGACACTCTCCAAGGATCTCTCCAAGGCTTTCGGTTGTATAGGTGGTAAGTAGCCTAAGACACGGATCTCTCCAAGGCTTTCGGTTGTATAGGTGGTAAGTAGCCTAAGACACGGATCTCTCCAAGGCTTTCGGTTGTATAGGTGGTAAGTAGCCTAAGACACGGATCTCTCCAAGGCTTTCGGTTGTATAGGTGGTAAGTAGCCTAAGACACGGATCTCTCCAAGGCTTTCGGTTGTATAGGTGGTAAGTAGCCTAAGACTCTCCACTTTCGGTTGTATAGGTGGTAAGTAGCCTAAGACACGGATCTCTCCAAGGCTTTCGGTTGTATAGGTGGTAAGTAGCCTAAGACACGGATCTCCTCAAGGCTTTCGGTTGTATAGGTGGTACGTAGCCTAAGACACGGATCTCTCCAAGGCTTTCGGTTGTATAGGTGGTAAGTAGCCTAAGACACGGATCTCTCCAAGGCTTTCGGTTGTATAGGTGGTACGTAGCCTAAGTCTCTCCAAGGCTTTCGGTAAGACACGGATCTCTCCAAGGCTTTCGGTTGTATAGGTCTCTCCAAGGCTTTCGGTTGTATAGGTAGCCTAAGACACGGATCTCTCCAAGGCTTTCGGTTGTATAGGTGGTAAGTAGCCTCTCCAAGGCTAAGACACGGATCTCTCCAAGGCTTTCGGTTGTATAGGTGGTAAGTAGCCTAAGACACGGATCTCTCCAAGGCTTTCGGTTGTATAGGTGGTAAGTAGCCTAAGACACGGATCTCTCCAAGGCTTTCGGTTGTATAGGTGGTACGTAGCCTAAGACACGGATAGACACGGATCTCTCCAAGGCTTTCGGTTGTATAGGTGGTAAGTAGCCTAAGACACGGATCTCTCCAAGGCTTTCGGTTGTATAGGTGGTAAGTAGCCTAAGACACGGATCTCTCCAAGGCTTTCGGTTGTATAGGTGGTACGTAGCCTAAGACACGGATCTCTCCAAGGCTTTCGGTTGTATAGGTGGTAAGTAGCCTAAGACACGGATCTCTCCAAGGCTTTCGGTTGTATAGGTGGTAAGTAGCCTAAGACACGGATCTCTCCAAGGCTTTCGGTTGTATAGGTGGTAAGTAGCCTAAGACACGGATCTCTCCAAGGCTTTCGGTTGTATAGGTGGTAAGCCTAAGACACGGATCTCTCCAAGGCTTTCGGTAAGACACGGATCTCTCTCAAGGCTTTCGGTTGTATAGGTGGTACGTAGCCTAAGACACGGATCTCTCCAAGGCTTTCGGTTGTATAGGTGGTAAGTAGCCTAAGACACGGATCTCTCCAAGGCTTCCGGTTGTATAGGTGGTACGTAGCCTAAGACACGGATCTCTCTAAGCGGGTGAATTTATGTCGTCCCTCAATATAAGTGAACCATTAGATAGAACAGCCATTAGACGGGTGAATTGTTGTCGTCCTCACTATAAGTGACCCATTAGATAGAATAGCCATTTGACGGGTGTATTGTCGTCCTCACTATAAGTGATTAATTAGATAGAACAACCATTTGACGGTTGAATTGTTGTCGTCCTAACTATAAGTGATTCATTAGATAGAACAGCCACTTTACGGTTGAATTGTTGTCGTCCTAACTATAAGTGATTCATTAGATAGAACAGCCACTTGACGGGTGTAATATTCTCTCGCTATCAGAAAATAACCTGAGTGAAATTTCAATGTCTGGTTTCTGACCGTTTACTAGTTAAAAATAGACAAGTCGGCTCATTTGTTCAATCAGACTGCATAAGCATTAAATGTGACTGATGGAATTGGCCATTACCTTCTTCGTCTCCTGAAGTAACACAGGACAAATAAGTCCTCGATGTTCCTTACATCGACGTGTTGATATACATGTACGAGATTTTTCCCTTGCATCATAAAGACGGACTGTTCTATAAATCAGTCTCATGATACTGGTGACCCCCCACGCTACCCGCGGTCCCTATGGTTACGAGCGTCTGGTTACCAACAGCTCAGGTTAACGGCTAGAACGAAAATTTCTTTCTCTGATATGATACTTTAGAATCTAAAATGAGCATAGTCAATAAAGGTGTAAATATCAATAACAGCATAATAAATATGAATATTGACATTAAGTTATTATCTTAGAGACAGAAATTTTCGGTCTTGTTACCGGCTATCCCTAAAGTTACCACCGGTTCTCTAACTGCAGCACGAAACAAAATTAATGGAGTAAAATGGGCTCCATTTAGAGTAAATCCCGCTCAATTTCGTCACCGAAATTTCAAATCAACTTGATAACTTTTATGATCACTCTAAACAAGCTGTTTAAATTCTGCATCTTTTTATAAGATCGCAGCTCTCAGATAGATAGCGTCATCATCAAACCGGAAACAATCCTATGGTTACCGGAAGCACGCCATTGAAATCGAAGCGAAATGTTATCTAGACAATAAAATGAAATTCTTTATAGAATGTGTTTAAACTACTTATTTACCTTGGTTTTTTTATTCATCTGATGATATCTGGAGCTTTCTCTTACGTGAATAAAGCTGTTCTATATTCCTCCACTGATCATAATGTCCACAAATTTAAAGACGCTGTACCATGTACACAATTACGTCAAAAATAGCGCGATCACTCGCGCACTGGAGCATGACACTCACTCAATGTAAGATTTATTTGTTTGTTTTGTTTATTTTCTATTCCGTCGAGTAGCTCGATTTACAGACTAATTAACCTGTAACACATGGTGTGTAGAAGAGAAAGGGCACAAAAAGACATTACATTGCTGATCAAGTCTTTTATCTTTACACATCGATTTCCATACACACAACATTTTTACCAAGGCCAGGCGATTCGGCATAATCCCCACACCTATACATATAACTATTGCCATCACTGTTGATTTCATTATTTTCCAAATGTCTTTTGTAAACCGGAAATATTGTGAACAACAGGTAGGTACGTATTCATCATTTAACTAATTGGGGTGAAAGTAGCATTATATCATCAGAGTTTGACGTAATTTTTGTACGTACAAAATGAGAAAAGAAAATGAGATACAGCTTCCTTGTAGTCACAGACAAATGACAACATAACGGCAGGTATGGCCTATCTCTCGTTACACTTTAAAACCTGTCACATCCAGTTTTACGGTAACCTTTAAATGATTGACATGAACAAGAAGAACAGTCAGTGTGGGATCAAATGATGGTATCAGTGTACAGCGCATCGCTACCACTTTTTAATTCGCCCATGATGATCTATAAAATCCCTGCATCATCCAAAAACTGCACTGATATGAATGATAGCTGTTGACGACAGAGGTAGTGTCAGACAGCAGTCCTATGTTTCTAGGGAAAGGCTGCCATGTTGACGTGTGCGGGCGGCCATCATGTACAAATGACATGACTTCCTGCCTTATATTAGCTTCGAACATGTAATCAGTTGCGGTTGGATGGTCTAATAGGTCTTTTATGGCGCCAAAGAAGGCGTACACGTCCCATGTATGGAAAGAATACACGTAACCTGAAATCGGGGACGACGGCTGATGAACCCCGACGTATCGGTACACCGGGGCTTTGTTCGCTGATGCGTAAAGGGCCATGACGTCATTTCCGCAACCAACTCTTATGTCTGTTATCATACATGCCAACTGATATCTTGGATTGACTTCACCAACCGGATATAGATGGAGTGCCATATCGGCTATGTCATTGCTGTATGTGCCGAGGTATTCTCTTACCAGAGCCTCGTAATCGGCCCAGGTTCCATTTCCGGGTGCGACGTCATCCAACTCTTGTGCCATTGTTCCTAAAAAGAAAAAGTTCAATTAAATTAACTCTGCTGAACCAGATTAGGAACCGACATGGACAGCGAAATTGGTATGAAAATGGTTTCCTACTCGTGTACTTCCTCGTTTGCTATGTCATCAGAGGTATGTTGTAGTATGATGTCTGTGTACGTACCTATGAGGAGGGGCACGTCGTTGGCTTTACCATGGAGCCAGGCATCTTGAGGAGACTCCGGCATCACATAACCTTTGGTATATACGGAAATGTAGGGTAACTGTATGTAATGATCTATATTCATCAACCGGAAACGATTGGCAAGGAGTTTGTATTGTTTTATAATCTTCTAATAAGACAGACTCCCATTAGGTATTGAGCTAGAAACGTTAACATTTCTATTTGACACATCTATCTGTAGGTACACTGTATATCATTTACACATTTCCCCGAGGTTTTTAACACCACAACCTACATTCACGACATCCTCACCAGAAATCGAACATGTGACTCAAGTCTCTGTTCCACTGAAGAAACTCCTCTCTTATATCAGGGTACGGCCCTCGGACATGCAGCAAGAATATCGCAGTGTGTTTACTTTGATTCCGGAGTACACTTGAATTACACGGCCATAAATGTATCTTAGACAAGCAACGCTACCTACCATCTATAACCGGAAGTGATCCATCGTGATCCCCGCGCTTTGGAAGTATGTATTGATCATTCTCGTTCCAGTTTGGAAAGGAATCCCACTCGACTGCCTTGGTCACCTCTAATGGAGACAGCTGTTGGAGACATGTGATGTTCGTACATCCGGTGTTATTCAGAAAACTAAGGTTGTCGCGGGAGGCCTGGGCCAAACTCGTGGTAAATATAGGTGATCCACTGAGAATCCAGGCCTTGGAGAAAAGGTTCTTGGATAAAGGTGAGGTGACCAGGGCAATCACTGCAGTGGCTCCTCCACTCTGACCAAACAGTGTGACCTACCGAGAGTCAACGATACAACAGTGATCCCTAGTACCTACCAGGCGGGTTGAAGGCGTTTTGACCTAGTACCTATCCAGGCGGGTTGAAGGCGTTTTGGCCTAGTACCTACCAGGCGGGTTGAAGGCGTTTTGGCCTAGTACCTACCAGGCGGGTTGAAGGTGTTTTGACCTAGTACCTATCCAGGCGGGTTGAAGGCGTTTTGACCTAGTACTTACCAGGCGGGTTGAAGGCGTTTTGACCTAGTACCTATCCAGGCGGGTTAAAGGCGTTTTGACCTAGTACCTACCAGGCGGGTTAAAGGCGTTTTGGCCTAGTACCTACCAGGCGGATTAAAGGCGTTTTGACCTAGTACCTATCCAGGTGGGTTGAAGGCGTTTTGACCTTGTACCTACCAGGCGGGTTAAAGGCGTTTTGACCAAGTACCTAACAGGCGAGTTGAAGGCGTTTTGACCTAGTACCTATCCAGGCGGGTTAAAGGCGTTTTGACCTAGTACCTTTCCATGCGGGTTAAAGGCGTTTTGACCTAGTACCTACCAGGCGGGTTGAAGGCGTTTTGACCTAGTACCTATCCAGGCGGGTTAAAGGCGTTTTGACCTAGTACCTATCCATGCGGGTTAAAGGCGTTTTGACCTAGTACCTACCAGGCGGGTTGATGGCGTTTGACCTAGTACCTACCAGGCGGGTTGAAGGCGTTTTGACCTAGTACCTACCAGGCGGGTTGAAGGCGTTTTGGCCTTGTACCTACCAGGCGGGGTAAAGGCGTTTTGACCTAGTACCTACCAGGCGGGTTAAAGGCGTTTTGACCTAGTACCTACCAGGCGGGTTGAAGGCGTTTTGGCCTAGTACCTACCAGGCGGGTTGAAGGCGTTTTGACCTAGTACCTACCAGGCGGGTTAAAGGCGTTTTGACCTAGTACCTACCAGGCGGGTTGAAGGCGTTTGACCTAGTACTTACCAGGCGGGTTAAAGGCGTTTTGACCTAGTACCTACCAGACGGGTTGAAGGCGTTTTGACCTAGTACCTACCTGGCGGGTTGAAGGCGTTTTGGCCTAGTACCTACCAGGCGGGTTGAAGGCATTTGACCTTGTACCTACCAGGCGGGTTGAAGGCGTTTTGGCCTAGTACCTACCAGGCGGGTTGAAGGCATTTGACCTTGTACCTACCAGGCGGGTTGAAGGCGTTTTAGCTTTATAGTATAAACTACAAGTCATCCGCATAAAATAGTATTATATCAAAAGTAATGATTAGTTTCTTTACAAATCCATTGCGAAATCTATTCGCTCAATTTTACAAACAATACGCGCTGGACAACATCGACAAACGATAGCATTTATCTTACTAATGGAAACAAGACCGACCAGTACCTCCTCTACTACAACGTTACATGTATGGGATATCGATACCTGTTTCGGATCACCTCCAAAGTTGCCGATATTGTCCTGAACCCATTTAAGTGCGAGTATCTGGTCCATAAAGCCGTAATTCCCAGACGTGTTGGTTTTGGAGTTTTGTGTTAATATATCCAGTGCCATAAAGCCGAACGCATGAAGGCGATAGTTCATGCTTACATATACCACCTGTGTGTCACGTGCCAATTCCTCGGTAGGAGAGTATGTGCTGTCATGACTATTTCCGTACTCTAGGTTGCCGCCGTGTACGAAAACCATGACGGGGAGGTTAGCCGTGGGTCCCACAGTAGGAGACCATACATTCAGGTGGAGACAGTCCTCTGTACCAACGACATCAGTCGCGTCGTCGTTCCACTGTACACACTGGGACACGAACTCTGTAGCATTATATAACCCAGACCAGCATGTCCCGTCTGATCGGCTTAGGGGTTCAGGAGGCTGCCATCGTCGACTTCCGGTTGGAGGGCGGGCGTAGGGTATACTTTTGTAGGAATAGCCGTTACCATTGTGGAGCCCCATCACCTGACCGCACTGTGTCGTTACTATAGAAACATTAGGACGCTGCTGTTGCTCTGGCTGGAAGATGAACGAGTGTACAACCTGTACAACACATATCAGGTGAAGGGATTTCACTTCCATGTTGTGTCTGAAAGCACGTGATATCAACATGCAATGTAAATTGTGTTAACAAACAAAATCACACACATTGGTATTTTGATACTGCATAACTACCAGTATGATTTATCTTCTAAACACTGAAAGTCATAGATATCGTCAAATAAAACAAGTATATAGATTGCCATTCAAACTTACAAGTAGAAATGCTACAACAGCGACAAAATCTGAACAAACAAATTATTTATCCGTGTTAAAGTACAAGGAGAATAAGTCCATGCGTTCTGGAAGAGTAAGCGTCTTCTAATTCATCGAAAACACCCGCCATGTAAATCTATATCCATCCAACTAATGGAACGTTCTTATATATCAAAGAATGACGAAACTTACCAGACATACTAACGAGCATTGAACACGTACAACTTTATATAGACCATGCAGGGTAATCCCCAATTAGATCTTAGTGACAATCATCAGAGTTCCCTCCCTTTAGCCGGTAGCAACCTGCTTCCATCAAGACCATGTGTTACAATATTTGTTGTATTTAGGAACACTTCCTAGAAAATCGGATTAACTTCGAAATGTACTGTCACTATATAGGAATGGAAATCGTAAAGCTTAACTATAACTTTTTGGAAAGTTGTCCGTAATGGTTGTGTTGTTTGTAAATATCGAGGTAAGATGATGATACAGACGTGATTTGATAGAAATGTAGAATGAGAAACAGTACAGCTAAATAATGAATTAAACTGCGCCATTCAACTGTTTCGTTCTTCTCGATCTCTTCAACAAAAATCTCATCAATCAGTTTGTAACAAAATGGGTAGTAGAAATACAATTTAGAGAATATAATTTAAAACAGAAATTTAAAGTACAACAGATTCTCTGGAAACAATAACAACAGGTGTCAAAAGTCAGGCACTGGACCAGGGTTAACGTCCTGTGATGGACAAGCAGTTTGGTAGCCTTAGATATCAAGGGTGTGCCTCACGCACCTAGCCACTGTAGCGAGATAGCTGGGGAGGGATCGTCGATCAGAGTAGATAGCCTACTGGACGATAAAGTACATCGGGATCCCTGAGATAAGGTTACATGACTTGCACGTGCCTTGATAATTATATGCCTCGCGGGGTGGGGTATTGTCATCCAATCGGGGCTTAGTTGGAATTGAAGTGTTTTGGTATTATTAATACTAAGACAATAGACAGTAGCAAGAGAGTAGCGGGAGAAGAGCAGGAGAGTGGTTGGAGGCTAGAGCTCGGGAGCTAGACAAGTCAGTGCGGGCCTGTAGCGGGAAGTAGGAACTTAAGCGGGAGATAGGGGTGGACTTGAACAGGATCTTGTGTAACCACGGCAAGAAATAAAATTTAACTCAAATACCACGTGTCGGAATAATTATTGTGTAACAAGTTTCTTAAACAAATTTCGGGGTGTCATACTAAATATTTGTTCGCGTTGACTTTAGACGAACTTTTGACGAAATACACCACAACTATATACACGTACCGCTATTTATCTTTCTATGTTAAAACAGGTCTCAAAACCAGAGAAGGAAGGCGCTACTTTGGAATGTCTGGTAGTGTACAAAGAGGACACAAAATCAAACGTTTTTACAAGAGTGGTAATTGATAAAATTATCATCAGAACGACATTTGTTCCATATCGTCCACCATGATGAGTTTTATTCCTTGTTGATATAAATATGACGTTCTCATTCTAAATTTAAATAAATGCATGGTTAGATTTAGTTAAGGGATATCACAGTTTTAAATTTCACTGAGGGTATTTATGTAGATAATAATATTTAAGCTTTTTTCAGTCGTTTTATATATATATATATATATATATATATGAATATATAAATTGATATTTGAGAAATACTTACATACTCTATGTGTGTAATACCGATGGCGAAGTGACTATGTCGGTCAGGCTCGAGGGACGGAATTATACATGGTGACCGATTTCTAGATCAGGATTTCCCTTGTCTGACCTTGGACGTGACCTCAGGAAATTTCGGTCTTAACTAGGAACTGGATTCTCGGTGGTGCCAAACAAAACCTCCGATCTAACATAATACAACTACTCTATAGTTTTGATATAAGGATGGTATTCATTGTGTTAACAAGCAGATTAAGAGATAAAAGTTGTAGACTTTGTGTCTCCTTTCTAGGAAATCTATTGTACAGAAATCATTTTCACGTGTGGACATTCTAAACCAAATGGACAAAAGTAAAGCGTAACGAATGCTCTATAAATCTTAAGATAGTGATTGTTCAGCTGTGATTATACACCTGTATCACAAGTCGGCATTTGATAGTTTTAATCAACAGATAAACATAACGATCCAAAGATCACAAATATTACAGAAGTAGACAGCTTAGGAACAGCTAAAGGTGGGGATGCGAACAACATATTACGGCGTTTTAAGGAGTAAGGTCATGTCACATTCAATACTGAATTAAAAGGAACGTGTGTTTAAAAAGGGATATAGGTCTGTCGTCGTCGTCAGTCTACATCCCTATAAATGTGTAGTGGGACATTTCTAACATGTATAGTTCTATCTTTATCGCCGTCGTCAGTCTACATCCCTATAATTCTGTAGTGGGGCATTTCTAACATGTATAGTTCTATCTGTATCGTCAGTCTACATCCCTATAAATGTGTAGTGGGACATTTCTAACCTGTATAGTTCTATCTGTATCGTCGTCAGTCTACATCCCTATAATTCTGTAGTGGGACATTTCTAACATGTATAGTTCTATCTGTATCGTCAGTCTACATCCCTATAATTCTGTAGTGGGACATTTCTAACATGTATAGTTCTATCTGTATCGCCGTCGTCAGTCTACATCCCTATAATTCTGTAGTGGGACATTTCTAACATGTATAGTTCTATCTGTATCGTCGTCAGTCTACATCCCTATAATTCTGTAGTGAGACATTTCTAACATGTATAGTTCTATCTGTATCGTCAGTCTACATCCCTATAATTCTGTAGTGGGACATTTCTAACATGTATAGTTCTATCTGTATCGCCGTCAGTCTACATCCCTATAATTCTGTAGTAGGACATTTCTAACATGTATATTTCTATCTGTATCGTCGTCAGTCTACATCCCTATAATTCTGTAGTGGGACATTTCTAACATGTATAGTTCTATCTGTATCGCCGTCAGTCTACATCCCTATAATTCTGTAGTAGGACATTTCTAACATGTATATTTCTATCTGTATCGTCGTCAGTCTACATCCCTATAATTCTGTAGTGGGGCATTTCTAACATGTATAGTTCTATCTGTATCGTCAGTCTACATCCCTATAAATGTGTAGTGGGACATTTCTAACCTGTATAGTTCTATCTGTATCGTCGTCAGTCTACATCCCTATAATTCTGTAGTGGGACATTTCTAACATGTATAGTTCTATCTGTATCGTCAGTCTACATCCCTATAATTCTGTAGTGGGACATTTCTAACATGTATAGTTCTATCTGTATCGCCGTCGTCAGTCTACATCCCTATAATTCTGTAGTGGGACATTTCTAACATGTATAGTTCTATCTGTATCGTCGTCAGTCTACATCCCTATAATTCTGTAGTGAGACATTTCTAACATGTATAGTTCTATCTGTATCGCCGTCAGTCTACATCCCTATAATTCTGTAGTAGGACATTTCTAACATGTATATTTCTATCTGTATCGTTGTCAGTCTACATCCCTATAATTCTGTAGTAGGACATTTCTAACATGTATAGTTCTATCTGTATCGTCGTCAGTCTACATCCCTATAATTCTGTAGTAGGACATTTCTAACATGTATAGTTCTATCTGTATCGTCGTCAGTCTACATCCCTATAATTCTGTAGTAGGACATTTCTAACATGTATAGTTCTATCTGTATCGCCGTCAGTCTACATCCCTATAATTCTGTAGTAGGACATTTCTAACATGTATAGTTCTATCTGTATCGTCGTCAGTCTACATCCCTATAATTCCACTTTATCTGTAAGCAGCATTTACCGGACGCTTTCTTTAAATCTTTTTTTTTATCATGATTATGTCTATATAATCAGTTTAATGGTGGGAGCTACAGGTGGTCTGAATCCGTAGCAGAGGTTAGTTACAGCGACAGTTAAATGTTGAAATGGCAGAACTTTTGAGAATTGGGTAACATTGAGTGGTTACATTAATAATGTCTGTGATACACATCGTTACTTCCGGTAATCTGTCCTTTACAGTGTGATAAATGTCAAGTGCTTCACAATAAGGATACAATGTAACACATCAGAAATGGCTGTAAACTATGTTAATTAGTAGTGATGACTCTCTGGCCTTAAATTGACGACCATATTTCATTATGTTTATAATTATCAGTTTTATTTGGATCAATTAATTCAAAAACAAAAACTTAAAGCTCCAAATCTACACAAATGGAAAGTAATCTCATAGGACGTATACAAAACCGTGTATACATCTGCGTGACCTGCCTGGTCATGATTCAAGGTCAAGGTCAATCTCCACATTGATGTTTCGGTAGGTTGACATTATTTGATAACCTTCTCTATATATACAGCTGTTACTTTGCGTGGGCCATATGATTGAACTAATTTATGTCAAAACAAAAACAAAGTCAGCGAAAAATAAGACAAGCCAACTTAACACTTAGTCAAGAAACAAAGTCGATTGTGTGTTTCTTATATACCACGTATTCTTACATAGATCTCAGATACATACAGAACTTAAATAAGTATACAATAATACATATGTATGATAATATTGAGACAGGTCTCTGTGTACTGTAGATAGTATATACGTTCTAAATATCGACTCTGTGGTTCAGTGTCTGGCGAAAAATTATTATTATTATTTTTGTTTTTTTGTTTTGTTTTTTTGTTTTTTTTTTTATTTTTTTTTTTTTTTAACTTTAAACGAAGAAAATATTTAGGTGATATGGAAGGCTATTCTGTTGGTAATCTTGCACTGGACAATACGTTATTTTGGAATTATTATACACGAGTTTTGAGCTAATCAACGTCAGTTTTTATGTACTATTTTAGTTCAAAACTCAATCGTTTTAATATGTAGAGAGGTCTATTTGTTTAAACATCGGCAAAAACAAAATTATTATTTCTTAATGTAACTTCTGGTTCGATGAGAGTATATTCTTACTTTCTCTCAACAATGTGGTCGTGCACAAGGCAAATGATCTAGTTGCGACTTTATAATTCTACATCCTACGCCAACTGATCGACTTGATGTTTCGAATGAGTATTGAGCCCTGATACAAGATAATTGCCACTGCGTGTTGTGTTCTTGTCATCGCCATAAATATTCAAAGTCTGCTTTATGATTCAAAAACCATTTTTACAAAAGAAAACTCTGGAAAATTCATGTCAAGGACAAGAGCCCTCAAACATAATCTTCATAAGTTCAGAACCATAGAGGTAAGCCTAGAGCCAAGGACAGCAATTAAATGCAGTCTATTGCAATGAAACTATGAAATTGACATCAGCAGAATCACACCAAACTATCATCAGAAGCCACTGTAGCAACACTTTGAACCACGCCAGGGCCATTTTCAATGCGGTTTCTGTTGTTTCTGTTACCCGAAATAGGTAAAAACTAATATTTCATTCAAAAATCAATCGAATGAATGAAAACTCCGGACAATCCTATACGTTCTGTATCTTCTGATAATTTTATACAAAATGTAAAACGCTGAAATATAATCTAAATGGCCTAAATCCACACAAGAAGCCCCCAGAGGTTTGAAGCTACAGCAGTAGCCCTTAGATCCTCTGCCAAAGGTCTTTTTATGTATGTTCTATTGTTGGGATCACCTGCAATGAGTAAAATGTCATACTTCATTAAAAACTAATTCTACTGATATAAAGTTATTGACATCAATAGGACTAGATCCACTGTTTCTTATACCTTGGAATATTCATAGCTGTTAGATAATCTTCATGTACAAAACGGTCGTGGACAATCTTTCGCCACGGATTCCAATTATTTGCTTTCAAATAAATCAAAAGTCGTGATTTAATTATTTCTTTCTTCGATAACAACAGTAAAACAATTGAACTATCTTTTTTTAATGTTGTTTCCTAAAATTGAATTACTACTTCGTGTTTTAATGCTTTAAGATCTTAGGAAATCTGTAAATACTGAGATATTTCATTTCATTTATTTATTTTTGCAGAATTGTGAAACAGGAAATAGTACTTGAAAATAGAGAGTGAGATTGATATATGCGTAATTTATGTAATGATTTTGTTAATTATGTTCTTTACGAAATAGTAATATTTCGATACTTTTAAATTTTGATGTCTCAGTGTCATTTATTTGTATAAAGTCGACTGCATGTTGACATTAGAAATTGCAAGATCCTTCAGATGGATGGCTAACTTCGCCTGGATAGACAGAAATTTCATGTGACAATTTCCGAGCAGTCTGTGACTACTATATTACTAAATTGATGTCGAGGGTCTCGTAGACCGATGGCAGAAATAGCTAAATGTTGGTGTTGCGCTACCTTAATGTCTCAAAGTATCTAGAGTTATGTTTCTTGAATGGTAGTAATTTCCGGTTACGATTCTCTACGACTCACAGAGTGGGGAAGCAGCTGATAGGAGAGAACAGAAAGACCGGACTCAACACCTCAGACGGCGAGTGTACTTCCATTGGTTCTTAGAAGATTTCAGACGGAAGGAAAGTTCACTTCATCTTAAAACCGCTGAAGGTTGACTGCTTAGAATAGTCCGAGCGATCAGACACAGACAAGATGTCGGAAAGAAAAGTTTTAAACGTAAGTATTTAGGCGTTAACTTACGCTTGTAAGTCATTCTGATATATTTATTGAAATGTGAACTGTAGGAACAAGCCTATCAGATGCTTTAGGTACCAACTGTTTTTTTTGTAAATTTTATCTTGATTTGACCCCTTTGTCGATCCCGATGTGAGAGAACCTTCACCAGATGTTTCGGTACCTACTGCTATGATTAACTGTACATGTTTGAGATACCGTTGTTAGGTTTCATTATGGCATGTCACCATATCTACTCAGCACATAATCAGTTTATAGTTCGTATTAATTTATTAAGTAATGGCAGCAGTGTTAAATAAACTGATTTAACCAGAAATATTGCAATGTTTTCATTTATGATTTAGATACATAAATCTGCATGTAAATGATTCAAGAGTAGAACTATTTAAATATGCTACAAATCCATTTTGATGAGACAAGGCTTACATATGTGTGACTTCACTAGCTATAGTGTAAAATTGTTGACTGTTTATTGTACTTCTGTATGTGATCATTATATGTATTATCAAATCTTTTACAGAAATATTACCCTCCGGATTTTGATCCATCAGCCATTCCTAAGATGAGGTTTTCAAAGAATCGGACATTTAATATCCGTATAATGGCACCCTTCAATATGAGGTAGAGTATATTTTTTTACTGATCGTAGGTCAGAGTGTGAAATGAAGATTAAGATCACATCTTAGATTTTTAACACATTAGCCAAATATAGGATACACACAGACAGAAGATTTAAGTGTAATGTTTCAATGACTAAACAGTCACCTCCATCAGAAAAATGACAAGTGTGAAGTGTACTAGCACTGACAATAAAATATTAACCAATTTTTCAGCTGTCCTGTAATCCTATCTACACCAAGGTAGATTCCTTACCGTCTCATACACTATGTAGGCCAGAGCTAGTATACTTCACACTGGTCACTCTCAAATATTCTGCTGGTTAAGAGAACTTTTGTCCTCAATTACTCTATATGTATGTAAAATTCAAGTAGAGAAACTGAAGTGATGATAAACTATTACAGAGTTTTGGTAAAATGTGGATGATTTGTTTTACACATCTGACAGTATTTAGAAATACTAAGATGTAGGTTATAGATTGTTTAATTTATTTGTAATGTTGTTCCATTTGAAATATTTAATTCTGTTGTAAAACCATTTAGAATTAAGAAGTCAATGGTCAAAGATAAAATGATGATTTATTAATTAAATTGATAAGTATGCATAACATGTTGGAAACCAGTTTTAAATCAAATACACAATATTCTGGAGCCTGATCATCACTATAGATAAGAATGACATAAGTTCTATAACATCTGGTATACAAAACATAACATCATATATTTTAAATAAATTCACAATAAGCTTTCAGTACAATGTGCATTGGTCCATGTACGCTATTGTCAGTAATACATTGGTCATGTTAATTGCCAATAACAATGTTTTATTGTAGGTGTAATACTTGTGGTGGTTATATCTATAAAGGAAAGAAGTTCAACTCAAGGAAAGAAAATGTGGATGAAGAGTTCTACTTAGGCCTGCGAATCTTCAGGTTCTACATCAAATGTCCAACCTGTGTGGCAGAAATAGCGTTTAAGGTTTGTATGTCATATATTGGTCTTATTTCCATAACATGTTGAACAATATTTCATATACACATAAACAGACCATGAATATACTAAACAAATTGCAGCAGTCAAGTTAAAATGGTGAGAGTTATCTCCTCCTGCTAACTGGTCTTCTATGTATGTTAGTCAGACAAAGTGTCATTGCTTTAATTAATCCTAATAACTTGTGTTTGTACTGTATTGTAGACTGACCTAAAAAATACAGACTACACACTTGAAGCAGGAGCTACACGACTGTTTGAGGCTGAGAAACTTGCTAAAGAAATGGCAGAGCGAGAAATCAAGGAAAAGGAGGAGGAAGAACTGAACAACCCAATGAAGGTATGACAGAGTGATCTCCCTTATAATCCAGGTGATAAAATAAAAGATATGACTGAGTGGTTTTGCATTTTTTCAGAATAGTAATTAACAACCTTATGGAGGTAAAACATATCTTTTAATGTATGTGTGATACATTTTTCCACTAACTATCTGACTCACATTTCATCTAAAGCATGATTATCATAAGATATAACCCTGCTTTGGTAAAATTTCAGATTCTGGAGAACAGAACAAAAGCATCAAGAAATGAGATTGAAACCATTGATATCCTGGAGGAACTGCGTGAACTAAGTGCACGTCAGGCAACTGTCAATACAGAGACCATGCTACAACAGCATCAGGAGTATGAACAGCAGTTACAGAAACTTCAGGAAGAGGAGGAGGAAAAGGAAATCAGGTAATCACCCCTAATTACTGCCAGTAATTTGTACCCATAGTTACCAGCTAGTGACATGCACCCTTCATCACCATCTGGTGGTATGTGAACCCTTAGTCACCATCTGTTGATATGTTAACCCTTAGTTACCATCAGGTGATATGTTAACCCCTAGTCACCATCTGTTGATATGTGAATCCTTAGTCACCATATGTTGATATGTTAACCCTTAGTTACCATCAGGTGATATGTTAACCCCTAGTCACCATCTGTTGGTATGTGAACCCTTAGTTACCATCTGTTGATATGTTAACCCCTAGTCACCATCTGTTGATATGTGAACCCTTAGTTACCATCTTGTGATATGTAAACCTTAGTTACCATCTGGTGATATGTGAACCCTTAGTTACCATCTGGTGAGCTGTGAACCCTTAGTTACCATTTGGTGATATGTGAACCCTAAGTTACCATCTGGTGATATGTGAACCCTTAATTACCATCTGGTGATATGTGAACCCTTAGTTACCATCTGGTGATATGTGAACCTTTAGTTACCATCTGGTGAGCTGTGAACCCTAAGTTACCATCTGGTGATATGTGAACCCTTAGTTACCATCTAGTGATATGTGAATCCTTAGTTACCATCTGGTGATATGTGAACCCTTAGTTACCATCTGGTGATATGTGAACCCTTAGTCACTATCTGTTGATATGTGAACGATATGTTAACATAGTTACCATCTGGTGGTATGTGAACCCTTAGTCACTATCAGTTGATATGTTAACATAGTTACCATCTGGTGGTATGTGAACCCTTAGTCACCATCTGTTGATATGTGAACGATATGTTAACATAGTTACCATCTGGTGGTATGTTAACATAGTTACCATCTGGTGGTATGTGAACCCTTAGTTACCATCTGTTGATATGTGAACCCTAAGTTACCATCTGGTGATATGTGAACCCTTAGTTACCATCTTGTGATATGTAAACCTTAGTTACCATCTGGTGATATGTGAACCCTTAGTTACCATCTGGTGAGCTGTGAACCCTTAGTTACCATTTGGTGATATGTGAACCCTAAGTTACCATCTGGTGATATGTTAACATAGTTACCATCTGGTGGTATGTGAACCCTTAGTCACCATCTGTTGATATGTGAACCCTTAGTTACCATCAGGTGATATGTGAACCCCTAGTCACCATCTGTTGATATGTGAACCCTTAGTTACCATCTGGTGGTATGTGAACCCTTAGTCACCATCTGTTGATATGTGAACGATATGTTAACATAGTTACCATCTGGTGGTATGTTAACATAGTTACCATCTGGTGGTATGTGAACCCTTAGTTACCATCTGTTGATATGTGAACCCTAAGTTACCATCTGGTGATATGTGAACCCTTAGTTACCATCTTGTGATATGTAAACCTTAGTTACCATCTGGTGATATGTGAACCCTTAGTTACCATCTGGTGAGCTGTGAACCCTTAGTTACCATTTGGTGATATGTGAACCCTAAGTTACCATCTGGTGATATGTTAACATAGTTACCATCTGGTGGTATGTGAACCCTTAGTCACCATCTGTTGATATGTGAACCCTTAGTTACCATCAGGTGATATGTGAACCCCTAGTCACCATCTGTTGATATGTGAACCCTTAGTTACCATCTGGTGGTATGTGAACCCTTAGTCACCATCTGTTGATATGTGAACGATATGTTAACATAGTTACCATCTGGTGGTATGTTAACATAGTTACCATCTGGTGGTATGTGAACCCTTAGTTACCATCTGTTGATATGTGAACCCTTAGTTACCATCAGGTGATATGTGAACCCCTAGCTATAGTTGTCCTGTCGTGGGTTGGCTGTAACACTTCAGATGTTTTCAAATTATATAAATGTAAAAAAAGAACATTGGTCAAGTTTTCTGTTGTCATATTTTCAAAGTGTGCTACTGTATTAAATAATAGTGTGTCAGTTTGTGTTAAAAATAATAGTCATCATACAGCCCAGAGAAATAAGTTCCACTATAACATGTGTCTATGTTATTTTCAGGTCCATATTTGGTGAGAGGGAAAATGGAAAAATCTTGAAGAGGTTAAAGGATGATTCAGATGAGGATGAGGACGAACCAAAGACAAAGAAAGTAGTGTTTCCACCTAAGCCTACAGATTTACTGTCTTCAGAGGTAAATTATTGTCATGAAAACATCACTGAGGTAGGAGTTAGAACTAAAAGTCCTGTCAGCTAATGTAGTGTTAGGACTAAGAGTCATGAGCTAATGTACTATTAGGACTGAAAGTCATGTGCTAATGTACTATTAGGACTGAAAGTCATGTGCTAATGTACTATTAGGACTGAAAGTCATGTGCTAATGTACTATTAGGACTGAAAGTCATGTGCTAATGTACTATTAGGACTGAAAGTCATGTGCTAATGTACTATTAGGACTGAAAGTCATGAGGTAATGTACTATTAGGACTGAAAGCCATGAGCTAATGTACTATTAGGACTGAAAGTCATGAGGTAATGTACTATTAGGACTGAAAGCCATGAGCTAGTGTACTATTAGGACTAAAAGTCATGAGGTAATGTACTATTAGGACTAAAAGTCATGAGCTAATGTACTATTAAGACTAAAAGTCGTGAGCTAATGTACTATTAGGACTGAAAGTCATGAGCTAATGTACTATTAGGACTGAAAGTCATGAGCTAATGTACTATTAGGACTAAAAGTCATGAGGTAATGTACTATTAAGACTAAAAGTCGTGAGCTAATGTACTATTAGGACTGAAAGTCATGAGCTAATGTACTATTAGGACTAAAAGTAATGAGGTAATGTACTATTAGGACTAAAAGTCGTGAGCTAATGTACTATTAGGACTAAAAGTCGTGAGCTAATGTACTATTAGAATTGAAAGTCATGAGCTAATTACTGTTAGGACTGAAAGTCATGAGCTAATGTACTATTAGGATTAAAAGTCGTTAGCTAATGTACTATTAGGATTAAAAGTCGTTAGCTAATGTACTATTAGGACTAAAAGTCATGAGCTAATGTACTATTAGGACTGAAAGCCATGAGCTAATGTACTATAAGGACTAGAAGTCATGTGCTAATGTACTATTGTCCCTATCATCTTGAATATGGAATTTGTCACATAGAACTTGATTACAAAGACTGATGTTAAAATGCCTTTTTAAATGTTAAAGGATTCTTGAAAACCTCCAGTTTATTTCATGGGTTAGATTAAGTGTATTGTTGCCAGTTTAGATGATATTGTATGGAATCAGCTACATGGGTGTTATTTGAACATGAGTATCTTGAATAAAAACATTGTTTACATAATTTTTATGTTTTTCCTGTTGTAGAAGTCCAGCACTAGTGCAAAGAAGCCAACAGCAAGCTGGCAGAAAAGTGTTGGTGGTTTATCTAGTAAGAATGGACTCAAAAATCTTGTGAAGAAAAAACAGCCAAAACCATCTGCTGATGTGAAAGTAGCCTCTAGTCCTTCAGGTGTTGGAAACCCTACTAGAGACACAAATTCTGTTGCTCCCTCCACTACAGATATAACACCGACAGTCTCCAGTGAGGACAGGAACAAAAAACACAACACAGACATTCCTACTAAAGATCTACTGCCTGTCACTGCTAGTAGAACCAATCAAACACAGTTATCCTCCAGGGACAGTGACTCTAATCAACCATCCTCATCATCTGTTTCTGACTCCTCTAAATCATCAGCTGTTTCAGTGACACCAGTTGTATCCGCGCCCCACGGACTGCTTGGGCTAGGTTACTCTGACAGTGATGAATCCGATGATTAACATAAAGTATAAATATAATGTAACTACACCATCAATTTTGTAATCTATTTGTTGAATACTGTAAACCAGATTTCTGTCACGCGATGTTTGTTTTCGTAAATTTCTTAAAATAAATTTATGAAAGGTAGTAAATAACAACAAAAACAGCACATTACTATCATTATTGTACACACATATGTACCTAAGTGATTAAATAGTTAAGGAGTCGGTTCCTGGAAAGTGAATTACTGTTAATTTCTTATGATATGGAACTTTTAAAAGTTACAAGTCCTGAAAGAAAATTAGATGAAAGAACTCCATCTCATGGATAGCTTTTTAATTCAGAAAAACTTTGGGTTTGATAGACTACGTTAAGACACACCAGCCTAGTCGCTTTAAAGACAGAATTATATTACTTTTTGCCGAGTCCTCCATCAGTCTCTATTAGTGAAGGTTAGAAAGAGATAGCCAGTGTGTTATTGTAGATTAATGTTGACAAGGATTCTAATGTTGAATCAAATCTGCATTTATATTTTCAAGTCACTATTTTATTGTTTTTGTTATATTTACTGTATAATCATATATTTTTGATGAGCTCAAATATCCTGGTTTTACAAAATTTAACGTTTTTGTTGGCACTTAATTTGATGATGCTCTAAAAAGCTATGATTCATGTCAACATTGAACTTTTCACCATTTTGTGGAACTGTAAAGTTGTGGATTAATAGTAATTACAAATTTGATTAAAATAAAGCAAAAATTAATCTGGTCTGCTTAGTTATATTATAGTTGTAATAGTAAAGAAAAATGCTTCCATAGTTTTATCTTCTTCCTACCATGCTTATATGTGTCTTGAATAAAGACGGCTTATTCAGATCTTTCATTAGTTTCACTCTTATTGTCTGTAATTTATATTATAAAAATGAAAAGTTAAAATGTCACATTTTACAGACTGCATACTGACTTCTTTATTTTATATGGCTAACCTGTGTACAACTGTATGTAACCCATAAATTCTGATATACATCAGACTAAAATTTCTAACACTCAACAGAAAATGAACAAGGTATGTGTACATATTTTGATGGTAATGTTCTCCATTGTGTGGTGTTAACATGTTTATTTGTACATGTTATTGCTGTTCAAACCTGGAAAGAAACATAATTTATATTGAAGATCAGTTGTATTTGTAAATTGTTGCACAAGATTAACATTATGTAATGAATAAAAGAGATGGGGAAAAAGAATAATTGTTTTTGTTTTTTATTTTGGAAGAAATTATTAATATCTGCATTGCTTGGTGGAAGGAAAAAAATACCATTCTGTTGTTATTATCTCTTGTTAGTAAACAATAAAATTTACTTCTCAAAAACTACCTCTGATAAATTTATCAACAAGTAATGAAGACTAGAATCTCTGGTCGATGATGTGGTCTGTTGTCTGTCAACTATCGGACCATCAATAGTTCTTGTTACTGCTATTTCTGGAGAGGTATCAGATGGATCTTTCTCAAATTTCTTCAAATTTCCTATGGAGTTTCACTTTGGTCAAGAGTTGTGGCCTTTCAGCTTGGATACAGGTCAGAAAAATATGGCCAGAAAGTAACAGAAAGGATGGAAATTTGGTGGTCATAAAGACTCCACAGCAAGAGGGCTAGGGAGATTGGGTCGTAAAGACTGTACACTGGAGGTCTGGGGAGGTGAGGGTCGTAAAGACTCTGTACACTGGAGGGCTAGGGAGATTTGGGTCGTAAAGACTGTACACTGGAGGTCTGGGGAGGTGAGGGCTGCAAAGACTGTACACTGGAGGGCTAGGGAGGTGGGGGTCGTAAAGACTGTACACTGGAGGGCTAGGGAGGTGGGGGTCGTAAAGGCTCACTACACTGGAGGGCTAGGGAGGTGGGGGTTGTAATGACTCGCTTCACTGGAGGTCTGGGGAGGTTGGGGTCGTAAAGACTCACTTCACTGAAGGTTTGGGGAGGTGGGGGTCGTAAATACTCGCTTCACTGGAGGTCTGGGGAGGTGGGGGTCGTAAAGACTCACTACACTGGAGGGCCAGGGAGGTGTGGGTCGTAAAGACTTGCTTCACTGGAGGGCTAGGGAGATGGGGGTCGTAAAGACTCACTTCACTGAAGGTTTGGTGAGGTGGGGGTCGTAAAGACTCACTACACTGGAGGCCTAGGGAGATGGGGGTTGTAATGACTCGCTTCACTGGAGGTCTGGGGATGTGGGGGGGGGGGTCGTAAAGACTTGCTTCACTGAAGGGCAAGGGAGGTGGTTGTCGTAAAGACTTGCTTCACTGGAGGGCTAAGGAGATGGTGGTTGTAAAGACTCACTTCACTGAAGGTTTGGTGAGGTGGGGGTCGTAAAGACTGTACACTGGAGGGCTAGGGAGGTGGGGGTCGTAAAGACTGTACACTGGAGGGCTAGGGAGGTGGGGGTCGTAAAGACTCACTACACTGGAGGCCTAGGGAGATGGGGGTTGTAATGACTCGCTTCACTGAAGGTTTGGTGAGGTGGGGGTCGTAAAGACACTACACTGGAGGTCTGTGGAGGTGGGGGTCGTAAATACTCGCTTCACTGGAGGTCTGGGGAGGTGGGGGTCGTAAAGACTCACTACACTGGAGGGCCAGGGAGGTGTGGGTCGTAAAGACTTGCTTCACTGGAGCCCTAAGGAGATGGTGGTTGTAAAGACTCAATTCACTTAAGGTTTAGAGAGTTGGGGTCGTAAAGACACTACACTGGAGGTCTGTGGAGGTGGGGGTCGTAAAGACACTGTACACTGGAAGTCTGGGGAGTTGGGGGTCGTAAAGACTCACTTCACTGAAGGTTTGGGGAGTTGGGGTCGTAAACACTTCACTGGAGGGCTAGTGGAGGTGGAGGTCGTAAAGTGTCGCCCAGATAAAACTTCTCAAAACCATCAGCAAGATTTTGGTAAAACTTGATGGTACACTATGTTAATCTGACGAGGACAGGTTTCTCTCTACAGGAGGACTGAGGGAGCGAGGACATAAAGGATTACTCCTCAGGAAGAAGAAGCTGAACCATAAAACAGTCACTGCATGTAAATAACATTGTTCACTTTCCTCAGAAACGATTTGTCAGATTTCGGCAGTAATTATTAGCCTACATGTTGAGGGTTCGATTTCCTTCCTAGAAAGGACTCAACCTGCACGGATTTCTAAATAGCAAACTAAAGACAAGTTTTCAGGTCACCTAAGTTGCATTTAATGAAGTTTTGTGATCGCCTCATGTACTTTATGATCGTCGTCCACTTGTAGACAATTGACATATCCAACTCTCACAAACGTTTGAACCTGAACTAATGTTTGGTGAGGGTTTGCAAGAATCTTCCACGGTGTAATCACATGATGCACTATACATTCCCATTGGTTGAGCTACTATAATAAAAACTGGCTGGCCAATGAAAACACTTCTTTACAGCCTGTGAGATTACAGAGTAATGAAATACATGGAGGAAAGGGTCGGAAGCTGGATTACCATTTTTGTGTAACCCAAGGAACATGTTTCCCTTGGAGGGTAATTTTTTTACAATTTCGGACTAGTTAAAAAGAATGTGTAGTGAAGCTTATCAAAAAAAGTTCTGTTTGTATAAAAGTTTTACTATATACAAAATCAACAAGTGAAATATACATGTAGATAAAACCTGGAGTGAGATAGTGAAATCAATCACCTGAATTTAGGTGTACATGTATCACGTCATCACAATAGGAAAAATGTCAAGGAAGAGTTGGTATCCTGATCTCAAAGTATATATACATGTTGAAGTGATGCATTACAGGTAAAAAGGTTTGACCACGCTATACATGAAGTGATCTAAATAATTATTTGAAGGCCTCTGAGTTGATATGCCATATCCAACATTCTGAGACAATATCACTTTTTTTTTCTCTTTGGTGCAAAAGACTGATAACATTTGACAATGTGAAACATTTGATCACAAGGTAACTTAACGCTGTTTTCAATACAACATATCACAAAGCTCGTAAAAAGGTGTCGTGTAAGTAAAATCAAAAGTTATATTTCAATAAGAACACTAGAAATTACACAGAAGATATCTTTTTTGTGATGTTGATAATAATTTTGTTTTACTATTGGCGCGACACTTATTACATTATGCCACAGTTGCCTCCCCTCCCTCCAAAGTGTCGCTGTAAACAAAGATGGCAGCCCCCATGTTAAGCATGATGACATGAGACTGAAATTATCATTTAACGTCCCTGACGTTATAAACCCAAATTACTGTGTTACAACAAAATACCAAGATGGAAAGTATCGAGGATATGATGAGGATGGACAAGGAGAAGCTGGTGGAGCCTGTCAAGGCCGTTCAGGTCTGTATGGTGTTTTGCCACTGACTATTCAGCAGGGTGGGCACGCTCCTGTATCAGCGTAATGGTCCTAGATCAGTGACAGTTACTTATTTGAGTAATTAGTCTGTTACTCAAATGTGGGATGATCAGAGATAGAAGCGCAGGAGTTGCTATGCACATTTGCAGCAAAAAGGACGTTGTATTTAAAGCAGTATGCGGCATTTTAATAACAAATTATACAAAGAGGCTAAAAAGTCAAAGAGTTGAGAAATTTTATTTAAAGTCACATATGGTAAACAATAAGACATTAACACTGTAGTGTTATTATTATGACAAACATAAGCATAACACATTGTATTATATACATAACAATGATGTGCAGTACTTACATGATGAAGAAATACCACAGACACATAGTTATCTAGGAGTTATATGGTTAACAATGGGCACTTCTGTATCACATAAGTGTCACAAAAGAAAAAGTTAAAACAATATAAAAGTGTAATAAAGATATATGCTAATATAGCAAATAATACAAATTGACATGATATACCAGGGCTCTCGATCTGCCAGATTTGGAGCCGATATTCGGCCCCATTCCCAATGCAAAATAGTATCTTTTTTTCCCCAATTTAGACCCAAGTTTTCCCAATTCTAAGGAAAACGCCGCTATTTTTCCCAATTCTAAGGGCCCCAGGTCCCAGTCCCAAAATGGGGTGTGAGAGACCTGTATACACTAATATATGGTGCATTTAAATTTTACCAGTGGTAACGCACTTGCCTTTCACATAACCAGGGGAGGGGTTTGATTCCTGGGAATGGATTTGAAAAGGTATGCCTGACCATTTGGGTTTCTTCCTACACTAAGACCTTTTTCGCACTTCCATCCGAGCCAACAAGATTGATATATATAAGCTGGAAAAACTTGCTTCGCAATTGTTGTAAAATAAATAAAGTTTATTATTATTATAAATATAACCATGCAGCTTCCCAGGTAACAGGTTATGAAGAATGCAGTCAAAGGCCTTGGACAGGTCCATCAGAATCACAACAACATGTTGATGGTTGTCCAAGGCGTGCCTCTAGTCCTCATGGGCTTGCAACAGGACAAACTGGCACCTATAACCACTCATGAAAGCTGCCAAGAAAGAACTAAAAATAGGTTTGCAAAATTCACTTAAGCTGATCATGCATGATCCTTTCAAATATTTTTAACAAAGTAGTTAAAATACTGCCAGGTCTAAAACTGCTTTTCTTCAAAGGATTGTTTTTCTTATAAATAGGTAAAACCTGTGCTTTTTTAAGTTCATCAGGAAAAAAGAAACTGAGAAACAGTGATGAAAAAAGTGCTGTTATGACTGGTGTAAAAGATTCTGTACCGGCTTTTAAAATCTTAGCCGAGATACCATCAAAACTTGTAGCTTAGCAAAGAGGTAACAATCAGCTGATGAATAACCAGTTATTAAAACAATGATATATAGAAAGTTTAGGACAAAAATAAGTGCATTTATACTGATTGAAAATGGTTGACAAAATTACAGTTTCTTCAGGTCAAGAGCAGCTATGAATGTGGAATACATGTAATTGTAGTGGTAAGTGGATGTGGGGTTTTGTAGTGTAGGAATAAGTGTACATGTGTGGTAATTCTAAGGGTTACAGTAGAGGTTTCTAGTACTCATCAAGCTGCTTATTGGATGAAGAAAGCATGCCTTTCACACTCTCAAGAGAAGAATATGTAAATACCATGCTTGATGCTCGAATATTTCTAATTTTGTTGTGTGAAATGTTGAATAAAAGAATTCCAGACAGAGAATATATGTAGATTCCAATATGTTGGACAATGTGATAAACAAAAACAAATAAATGTATAGATGTAAAACACTGGGTTGTTTTTGATATCTTGATAAGTTTTCCTATAAAATGTTGGTAACCACTAAATCATCAATAGTGGGTGACTGTTGCAGTATAATATACATGTGTTATTAGTCCATCCCTGGTTCTCATAATTATGTATATGTTTGTGATTGCTCTGCTTCGTTTCAAGGTGTTCCATCAAATTACAGTGAGAGATATATTAATCCAAAATCTAGTACACCTATTTTATTGTTAATGACTCTTTGTTGACAGGAGAAATGGAGGCTTCTTCCTGCATTCCTAAAGGTGAAGGGACTTGTAAAACAACACATAGATTCCTTCAATTTCTTCATCAACAACGATGTGAGTAAAATGACAAATCATGATACGAGTAATGAATTGAATTTTGATTTATGTATGTATACAAATGTATAGGAAATAAAAGAATGTTGTTTTTATAATCAATAATTATTATGTAAATTTTCAGTAGAAGTAAATACATTTATACACTTAAAGAATGATCATGTATATTCGGTGTACATTGTGTCACATTTTTCTGTTACAGATCAAAAGCATTATGAAGGCCAATGAGAAAATCTCAAGTGATGCTGATCCCAACTTCTACATGAAGTCAGTATCTAATTATCTACATTTGCCATTATACATTGGAAACATTTTAATGCCAAGTTGTATAACATATTGAATGTTTGTGAGATCTAGAATGTATGACAGGTTTTGAAAATAAAACTGTATTCAGGCAGTGAAGGTGTGATCACATTTACAGCAACTTGTATCTGACCATTACAAGGGATCTGAAAAAACTGTATTCAGGCAGTGTAGGTTTGATTGCATTTTCAGCAACTTGTATTTGACCATTACAAGGGATCTGAAAAAACTGTGTTCAGGCAGTGAAGGTTTGATTGCATTTACAGCTTATTTTATCAGAATAAGTTCTACTACACTTCAATTTTTTCTTTCTGAACTGGTTCAGTGCTGTTTTCATTATCAGGTACCTGAATATCTATGTAGGAATGCCAGATGTAGAGGAGGGATTTAACATCACCAAGCCCATATCGCCTCATGAGGTAGGTGTATTTAATAACCTAAATATCTCTGTAACCCATATCACCTCATGAGGTAGGTGTATTTAATAACCCTAAATATCTCTGTAACCCATATCACCTCATGAGGTAGGTGTATTTAATAACCCTAAATATCTCTGTAACCCACATCACCTCATGAGGTAGGTGTATTTAATAACCTAAATATCTCTGTAACCCACATCACCTCATGAGGTAGGTGTATTTAATAACCTAAATATCTCTGTAACCCATATCACCTCATGAGGTAGGTGTATTTAATAACCTAAATATCTCTGTAACCCACATCACCTCATGAGGTAGGTGTATTTAATAACCTAAATATCTCTGTAACCCACATCACCTCATGAGGTAGGTGTATTTAATAACCTAAATATCTCTGTAACCCATATCACCTCATGAGGTAGGTGTATTTAATAACCCTAAATATCTCTGTAACCCATATCGCCTCATGAGGTAGGTGTATTTAATAACCCTAAATATCTCTGTAACCCATATCGCCTCATGAGGTAGGTGTATTTAATAACCCTAAATATCTCTGTAACCCACATCACCTCATGAGGTAGGTGTATTTAATAACCTAAATATCTCTGTAGCCCATATCGCCTCATGAGGTAGGTGTATTTAATAACCCTAAATATCTCTGTAACCCACATCACCTCATGAGGTAGGTGTATTTAATAACCCTAAATATCTCTGTAACCCATATCGCCTCATGAGGTAGGTGTATTTAATAACCTAAATATCTCTGTAACCCACATCACCTCATGAGGTAGGTGTATTTAATAACCCTAAATATCTCTGTAACCCACATCACCTCAGTCTTGGCTTATGTATGAATTTGAATATGGTAAATTATATGATAATAAATGAAGTCTCTTCGTTGCAGTGTCGCTTACGAGATATGACCTATTCAGCACCACTGACTGTAGACATTGAGTACACCCGTGGGAACCAACGCATTGTGAGAAAGAATCTTCCTATTGGCAGGTAAGTCTGCTGCTCTCAACACCCTTAGGTCAGTATATACATATATATAAGGCTTGTCATAATCTCACTTTGACCTTGAATTTGCTGTTGTAGGATGCCGATGATGCTGCGTAGTTCCAATTGTGTCCTGACTGGGAAGAGTCCCGCCGAGATGGCTAAACTCAATGAATGTCCTATGGATCCAGGTGGCTACTTTATAGTCAAGGGCAACGAGAAAGTCATCCTCATTCAAGAACAGCTCTCAAAAAACAGAATGATTGTTGATACGAGTGCTGGGCGCAAAGGCACCATAGAATGTTCTGTCACTAGGTAAAGATTGATGGGGATAGATCAATTATATTAATGTATTCAGAATGAATCATTTACTGTGAAATGAGTGTCCATTTACTTTGAAGTGAGTGTCCATTTACGGTGAAGTGAGTGTCTGTTTACTGTGAAGTGAGCGTCCATTTACTTTGAAGTGAGTGTCCATTTACTGTGAAGTGAGTGTCTGTTTACTGTGAAGTGAGTGTCTGTTTACTGTGAAGTGAGTGTCCATTTACTGTGAAGTGAGTGTCTGTTTACTGTGAAGTGAGCGTCCATTTACTGTGAAGTGAGTGTCTGTTTACTGTGAAGTGAGTGTCCATTTACTGTGAAGTGAGTGTCTGTTTACTGTGAAGTGAGCGTCCATTTACTGTGAAGTGAGTGTCTGTTTACTGTGAAGTGAGCGTCCATTTACTTTGAAGTGAGTGTCCATTTACTGTGAAGTGAGTGTCTGTTTACTGTGAAGTGAGTGTCTGTTTACTGTGAAGTGAGTGTCTGTTTACTGTGAAGTGAGTGTCCATTTACTGTGAAGTGAGCGTCTGTTTACTGTGAAGTGAGTGCCATTTACTTTGAAGTGAGTGTCCATTTACTGTGAAGTGAGTGTCTGTTTACTGTGAAGTGAGTGTCCATTTACTTTGAAGTGAGTGTCCATTTACTGTGAAGTGAGTGTCCATTTACTGTGAAGTGAGTATTCATTTACTGTGAAGTGAGTATTCATTTACTGTGAAGTGAGTGTCCATTTACTGTGAAGTGAGTATTCATTTACTGTGAAGTGAGTATTCATTTACTGTGAAGTGAGTATTCATTTACTGTGAAGTGAGTGTCCATTTACTGTGAAGTGAGTATTCATTTACTGTGAAGTGAGTGTCCATTTACTTTGAAGTGAGTGTCCATTTACTGTGAAGTGAGTGTCCATTTACTGTGAAGTGAGTATTCATTTACTGTGAAGTGAGTGTCCATTTACTGTGAAGTGAGTATTCATTTACTGTGAAGTGAGTGTCCATTTACTGTGAAGTGATTATTTATTTACTGTGAAGTGAGTGTCCATTTACTGTGAAGTGAGTGTCTGTTAACTGTGAAGTGAGTGTCCATTTACTGTGAAGTGAGTATTCATTTACTGTGAAGTGAGTGTCCATTTACTGTGAAGTGAGTATTCATTTACTGTGAAGTGAGTGTCCATTTACTGTGAAGTGAGTATTCATTTACTGTGAAGTGAGTGTCCATTTACTTTGAAGTGAGTGTCCATTTACTGTGAAGTGAGTGTCCATTTACTGTGAAGTGAGTATTCATTTACTGTGAAGTGAGTGTCCATTTACTGTGAAGTGAGTATTCATTTACTGTGAAGTGAGTGTCCATTTACTGTGAAGTGAGTATTCATTTACTGTGAAGTGAGTGTCCATTTACTGTGAAGTGATTATTTATTTACTGTGAAGTGAGTATTCATTTACTGTGAAGTGAGTGTCTGTTAACTGTGAAGTGAGTATTCATTTACTGTGAAGTGAGTGTCTAATTACTGTGAAGTGAGTGTCCAATTACTGTAAATGTTTTTTGCATAAACTACTAAATGTAGATAAATGTGATTGTCCACCAAACAGCTCAACACATGAGAGGAAGAGTAAGACGTATGTAACCACTAAAAAGGAGAAGTTCTATCTACGACACAATACATTCGCTGAGGTAATATTTACAGCTATACTGTATTATTTATAGATCAAAACTGATCCTATATCACAAGTCATATCAACCTTAACTATCCACACCTCACTAACCATACCTACCTTAACTGTCCACACCTACCTTAACTGTCCACACCTCACTAACCATACCTACCTTAACTATCCACACCTCACTAACCATACCTACCTTAACTATCCACACCTCACTAACCATACCTACCTTAACTATCCACACCTCACTAACCATACCTACCTTAACTATCCACACCTCACTAGCCATACCTACCTTAGCTATCCACACCTCACTAACCATACCTACCTTAGCTATCCACACCTCACTAACCATACCTACCTTAGCTATCCACACCTCACTAACCATGCCTACCTTAACTGTCCACACCTCACTAACCATACCTACCTTAACTATCCACACCTCACTAAACATACCTACCTTAACTATCCACACCTCACTAAACATACCTACCTTAACAATTACACCTCACTAACCATACCAACCTTAACTATCCACACCTCACTAACCATACCTACCTTAACTATCCACACCTCACTAAACATACCTACCTTAACAATTACACCTCACTAACCATACCTACCTTAACTATCCACACCTCACTAACCATGCCTACCTTAGCTATCCACACCTCACTAACCATGCCTACCTTAACTATCCACACCTCACTAACCATACCTACCTTAACTATCCACACCTCACTAACCATACCTACCTTAGCTATCCACACCTCACTAACCATACCTACCTTAGCTATCCACACCTCACTAACCATGCCTACCTTAGCTATCCACACCTCACTAGCCATACCTACCTTAGCTATCCACACCTCACTACAAGCTGAATAGTAAAGAAAGAAAAAAAGACTTTTGAATTCAGTGTAAACAACATCTTTATATACAGTACTTCGAGGAAATTTTTTCTCTATGATAATGAAAATAATAAACTTTATTTAAAGAAGTTAAGATATTTAAGCCAATGACTAATCTATTATAAAATAAGGCATAACACAATCATGATTTATAACATACATATAACTATAAGGAAAAACATTTGAAATATATCCAAGACTTTATCAAAATAATTTGTAGGATATTCCAGTGGCTATCGCATTTAAGGCAATGGGGATTGAATGTGACCAGGAAATAGTACAGATGATTGGAAGTGAAGAGGAAGTGCTGACTGCCATAGCCCCATGTCTAGAGGAGTGTCACCGGGCACAGGTGTTCACACAAACACAGGTAAAATACTTACAGGTGTTCACACAGACACAGGTAATATATACAGGTGTTCACACAAACACAGGTAAAGTACACAGGTGTTCACACAGACACAGGTAAAATACACAGATGTTCACACAGACACAGGTAAAGTACACAGGTGTTCACACAGACACAGGTAAAGTACACAGGTGTTCACACAGACACAGGTAAAGAACACAGGTGTTCACACAGACACAGGTAAAATACACAGGTGTTCACACAGACACAGGTAAAGTACACAGGTGTTCACACAGACACAGGTAAAGTACACAGGTGTTCACACAGACACAGGTAAAGTACACAGGTGTTCACACAGACACAGGTAAAGTACACAGGTGTTCACACAGACACAGGTAATATACACAGGTGTTCACACAGACACAGGTAAAGTACACAGGTGTTCACACAGACACAGGTAAAATACACATGTGTTTGCACAGACACAGGTAATATACACAGGTGTTCACACAGACACAGGTAAAGTACACAGGTGTTCACACAGACACAGGTAAAATACACATGTGTTTGCACAGACACAGGTAAAGTACACAGGTGTTCACACAGACACAGGTAAAGTACACAGGTGTTCACACAGACACAGGTAAAATACACATGTGTTTGCACAAACTCATTAAATCTTGTGAAACATTTTCTTTGGTTTGTACTAGATGTTCTGTTGATGCAATTAGTCGTGATCAAAAGAAAAAAAATTGTAAAATTTTTTTGATATCTCTTTCTCTCAAGGCACTGAAATACATTGGGATGCGTGTGAGACAGCGGCGGATGTGGGGTGCTCCAAAAAAGAGTAAGGTGGACGACGCCAGAGATGTTCTACACAGTGTGGTACTGGCCCATGTCCCTGTAAGTCCTACACAGTCTGGTAATGGCCGACCTATGTTCCTGTAAGCCCTATACAGTATGGTACTGGCCCATGTCCCTGTAAGTCTTACACAGTGTGGTACTGTCCCATGTCCCTGTAAGTCCTACACAGTGTGGTACTGGCCCATGTCCCTGTAAGTCCTATAGGTGGTCCTGGCCGGCCCATGTCCCTGTAAGTCCTACACAATGTGGTACTGTCCCATGTCCCTGTAAGTCCTACACAGTGTGGTACTGGCCCATGTCCCTGTAAGTCTTACACAGTGTGGTACTGGCCCATGTCCCTGTAAGTCCAACACAGTGTGGTACTGTCCCATGTTGGCCCATGTCCCTGTAAGTCCTACACAGTGTGGTACTGCCCCATGTCCCTGTAAGTCCTACACAATATGGTAATGGCCCATGTCCCTGTGAGTCCTACACAGTGTGGTACTGTCCCATGTCCCTGTAAGTCCTACACAGTATGGTACTGGCCCATGTCCCTGTAAGTCCTATACAGTGTGATACTGACCCGCCCATGTCCCTGTAAGTCCTACACAGTATGGTACTGGCCCATGTCCCTGTTACTCCTTCACAGTGTGGTACTGTCCCACGTCCCTGTAAGTCCTACACAGTATGGTACTGGCCCATGTCCCTGTAAGTCCTACACAGTGTGGTACTCACCCCTGTCCCTGTAAGTCCTACACAGTGTGTAACTGTCCCATGTCCCTGTGAGCCCTACACAGTATGATAATGGCCCATTATTGTAAGCCCATGACAATTGATCAGTTACATAGCTGCACAGAGATGATCCATTTTCCTTTCTTTCTAAAAGCATATATATATATATGTATATATACAGATATACAGGAAGTGTTGTAACAGTTGAGAATGAAATAGTGTTTCTTTCACAGGTAGTACAGTGGAACTTCAAAGTGAAGTCAGCCTACCTGGCCTTGATGGTGCGTCGTGTAATACTAGCCAAGGGTGACAAGGTCAAGGCCGATGATCGTGATTACTACGGTAACAAGCGTCTGGAGCTGGCTGGACAGCTTCTTTCACTGCTGTTTGAAGATCTGTTCAAGAAATTTAATTCAGAGGTAGGATTTTCCTTATGTATATTACATTACAATGGCATTGAATAAATAACATAAGGTCTTCATAAAGAAATGTCGGACATGTGGACAGGTCCACTCTGAACTGTTTTCATAAAATGGTGACCATGGAAAAAAAGGAACCATGTCTATCTTAACTATTACCCCATCTTCATCAATATGTGTGTGTCTGACTGTTCTAGTGCTGTATGTATCCTATTCCCTTCTTCTACCTAGGAAAATGATATCCTGACTAACTATTTATATATACATCAATATATATATATATACACATCAATATGTGTGTGTCTGATTGTTCTGGTGCTTTATGTATCCTACACCCTACTTCTACCTAGTAAAATGATATCCTGACTAACTATTTATATATACATCAATATGTGTGTCTGACTGTTCTGGTGTTATATGTATCCTACACCCTACTTCTACCTAGTAAAATGATATCCTGACTATTTACAGCCTCATAAGTTTACAGACTTACATAGAACCACACACTAAGTATTTAACCCAGTATTACCTGTTATGGTCACATCTGTGTAAAGACATAGGCCTGTTATAATATAGTGGTATATGATTTCAGTTGAAGAGAATAGCTGACATGACCATACCAAAACCGAGAGCTGCCCAGTTTGATATTGTTAAACACATGAGACAAGATCAGATCACCAATGGCCTTGTTAATGCCATATCTACAGTAAGTTGGCTTCAGTTATTTATGATTGTCAGCAATATTATCTAGGTGTACAGTATTTGTATGAACGGATGTTAACAGTCTATTATTGTCATGACATGATGCCTGTGTTTTACTCTGGTAAACAATTGTCTACTCTTAATGAATATTACAATTTAGTAGGTCATTTTTACCTGCCATCCTCCTCATCGTTTAAATGAAACAAATGCAAGTACAGTAGGAAACCTTTCTGGATACAATAGAGATGTTTGATCATTTTTTTAAATATTGAAAAATGACTAAAACATATAGCAAGCAAAATGAAGTAAAACAGTTTCATTTCTGTCAGTTATTTATGTAAACTGACTGGGAAAATGGGGCACCCATTGTAGAAACCATTGCACTATTTTGAATGGAATCCATAAATAGACCAACATTCTTCTGATATTTAGCAAATTAAGAAAGTCAAATATCTATCATGAAAATGCTCCATTTTTAGCAAATTATTTGATATTTGTTGAAACTAACTAATTATTACATTCATTATCTGTTAGGAAATGTTTATACTTTTTTTACAAAATGTGATCAATTATTTTATGATTTTTTGGAAATGTCCCATTATTACAGTATTGATGATATTCTGATATCGATCGATTTGGTGACTATTGAATGTTTCATAAAATCTGGAGTCAGAACTCTTTATTGTCATTTAAGAACAGAGAGTTATGTCCCTTTTGTGAAGTCTTTTGTGGAAGAGTTAGAGCTAGGGGTATTTATAAAGTTTGCCTTTAACTTACAATTCTAGATTTAAGTAGGAATAAAATTGCCATCTGCAAAAACATATGTATCAAACTTGTGATGTATTATAGGGTAACTGGTCAATATGTATCAAACTTGTGATGTGTTATAGGGTAACTGGTCAATATGTATCAAACTTGTGATGTATTATAGGGTAACTGGTCAATATGTATCAAACTTGTGATGTATTATAGGGTAACTGGTCAATATGTATCAAACTTGTGATGTATTACAGAACCACTGGTCAATATGTATCAAACTTGTGATGTATTATAGGGTAACTAGTCAATATATATCAAACTTGTGATGTATTATAGGGTAACTGGTCAATGTATATCAAACTTGTGATGTATTATAGGGTAACTGGTCCATTAAACGGTTTAAGATGGATCGAGGTGGAGTGACACAGGTACTGTCCAGATTGTCCTTCATCTCAGCCTTAGGAATGATGACTCGTATCTCTAGTCAGGTGAGCATTTCAGAGGTCAAGGCCAAACACTTAGACGTTGCGATAATGAACAGAGCAAGATACCAGAAGTTCAGTGATGTGTTTTGTTTTACATAAATCAACATTCGCTTGGTAGAACTGTTTCTATGAAATATTGTATCCCACAGCAGTGAAGGTCAACACTTGGTCAGTTGTGCAGACTGAAGCTGGTAGGTAAAAGTTTGTCTGGTATATAAGGATTTATCAGGTAGGTGAGGGTTTGTCGGGTAGGTAAGGGTTTGTCAGGTAGGTAAGGGTTTGTCAGGTAGGTGAGGGTTTGTCGGGTAGGTAAGGGTTAGTCGCGTAGGTGAGGGTTTGTCGGGTAGGTAAGGGTTTGTCAGGTAGGTGAGGGTTTGTCAGGTAGGTAAGGGTTTGTCAGGTAGGTGAGGGTTTGTTGGGTAGGGGAGGATTTGTCGTGTAGGTAAAGGTTTTTCGGCTAGGTGAGGGTTTGTCAGGTAGTTGAGGGTTTGTCGGGTAGGTGAGGGTTTGTCAGGTAGGTAAGGGTTTGTCAGGTAGGTGAGGGTTTGTCGGGTAGGTGAGGGTTTATCTGGTAATTGGAAGGTTTGTCAGGTAGGTGAGGGTTTGTCGGATAGGTGAGGGTTTGTCGGGTAGGTGAGGGTTTGTCGGGTAGGTGGTGTAAGGGTTTGTCAGGTAGGTGAGGGTTTGTCGGATAGGTGAGGGTTTGTCTAGTAGGTGAAGGTTTGTTGGGTAGGTAAGGGTTTGTCAGGTAGGTGAGTGTTTGTCGGGTAGGTAAAGGTTTGTCAGGTAGGTGAGGGTAGGTGGGGGTTTGTCAGGTAGGTGAGGGTAGGTGGGGGTTTGTCAGGTAGGTGAGGGTAGGTGGGGGTTTGTCAGGTAGGTGAGGGTAGGTGGGGGTTTGTCAGGTAGGTTTGTCAGGGTGAAGGTTTGTCAGGTAGGTAAGGGTTTGTTGGGTAGGTAAGGGTAGTGGGGGTTTGTCAGGTAGGTGGGGGTTTGTCAGGTAGGTGAGGTAGGTGGGGGTTTGTCAGGTAGGTGAGGGTAGGTGGGGGTTTGTCAGGTAGGTAAGAGTTTGTCAGGTAGGTGAGGGTTTATTGGGTAGGGGAGGGTTTATCTGGTAATTGAAAGGTTTGTCAGGTAGGTGAGGGTTTGTCGGGTAGGTGAGGGTTTGTCAGGGTAGGTTTGAAGGTTTGTCAGGTAGGTGAGGGTAGGGGGGTTGTCAGGTAGGTGAGGGTTTTTCAGTAGGTGAGGTTTGTCAGGTAGGTGAGGGTTTGTCAGGTAGGTGAGGGGTGGGGGTTTGTCAGGTAGGTAAGGGTTTGTCAGGTAGGTGAGGGTAGGTAGGTGGGTTTGTCAGGTAGGTGAGGGTTTGTCAGGTAGTTGAGGGTTTGTCGGGTAGGTGAGGTAGGTGGGGGTTTGTCAGGGTTTTTGTCAGGTAGGTGAGGGTTTGGGTTTGTCAGGTGAGGGTAGGTGAGGGTTTGTCAGGTAGGTGAGGGTTGTGAGGGTTTGGGGTGAGTAAGGGGTTTTTGTAGGTAGGTTTGTCAGGTAGGTGAGGTTTGTCAGGTAGGTAGGTGGGGGTTTGTCAGGTAGGTGAGGGTTGGTCAGGTAGGTGAGGGTATGTGGGGGTTTGTCAGGTAGGTGAGGGTAGGTGGGGGTTTGTCAGGTAGGTGAGGATAGGTGGGGGTTGGTCAGGTAGGTGAGGGTTTGTCGGGGTTTGTCAGGTAGGTGAGGGTAGGTGGGGGTTTGTCAGGTAGGTGAGGGTAGGTGGGGGTTTGTCAGGTAGGTGAGGGTAGTTGGGGGTTTGTCAGGTAGGTGAGGGTAGGTGGGGGTTTGTCAGGTAGGTGAGGGTTGGTCAGGTAGGTGAGGGTAGGTGGGGGTTTGTCAGGTAGGTGAGGGTAGGTGGGGGTTTGTCAGGTAGGTAAGAGTTTGTCAGGTAGGTGGGGGTTTGTCAGGTAGGTAAGAGTTTGTCAGGTAGGTGAGGGTAGGTGGGGGTTTGTCAGGTAGGTGAGGGTAGGTGGGGGTTTGTCAGGTAGGTGAGGGTAGGTGGGGGTTTGTCAGGTAGGTGAGGGCAGGTGGGGGTTGGTCAGGTAGGTGAGGGTAGGTGGGGGTTTGTCAGGTAGGTGAGCATTTATCCAGTGGAACTGATTCTGAATTACTACACTAGCTGTTGTTTATTTTATGACTATGTAAGTCCTTATTTTGTTGTTGATATGACATCACTATTAAGCTGTGAAAGAGAAACAATGTTTACATCATCAATCTTGTTTGGTGATATTTGTAGTTTGAGAAAACTCGAAAGGTCAGCGGTCCACGGTCACTTCAACCATCACAGTGGGGAATGCTTTGTCCCTCAGACACTCCAGAAGGGGAGGTAAGTCAGTTTAGACTGGTATTACTTTGCTCTTTCATCTTCATCATTTCTGTTGAAGTGTTAAATTTCTCTAGGCAATAATCCAGTGAAGTTAACAAATAGTTTAAAACAATTTGTTTGTAATTTATTGTAACCATGGATATAATGTGTCTAAACATATAAAGTGAAGGTATTGTAACCAAGGATGTGTCTAAACATATAAAGGGAAGGTATCGTAACCATGGATGTAATGTGTCTAAACATATAAAGTGAAGGTATTGTAAACAAGGATACAATGTGTCTAAACATATAAAGGGAAGGTATTGTAACCATGGATATAATATGTCTAAACATATAAAGGGAAAGTATTGTAATCATGGATATAATATGTCTAAACATATAAAGGGAAGGTATTGTAACCATGGATATAATATGTGTCTAAACATATAAAGGGAAAGTATTGTAATCATGGATATAATATGTCTAAACATATAAAGGGAAAGTATTGTAATCATGGATATAATATGTCTAAACATATAAAGGGAAAGTATTGTAAACATGGATATAATATGTCTAAACATATAAAGGTAAGGTATTGTAACCATGGATATAATGTGTCTAAACATATAAAGGTAAGGTATTGTAAACAAGGATACAATGTGTCTAAACATATAAAGGGAAGGTATTGTAACCAAGGATGTGTCTAAACATATAAAGGGAAGGTATTGTAACCATGGATATAATATGTCCATATAAAGGATATAATGTATAATATGTCTAAACATATAAAGGAAGGTATTGTAACCATGGATATAATATGTCTAAACATATAAAGGGAAGGTATAGTAACCATGGATATAATGTGTCTAAACATATAAAGGGAAGGTATTGTAACCATGGATATAATATGTCTAAACATATAAAGGTAAGGTATTGTAACCATGGATATAATATGCCTAAACATATAAAGTGAAGGTATTGTAACCAAGGATGTGTCTAAACATATAAAGGGAAGGTATTGTAACCATGGATATAATATGTCTAAACATATAAAGGTAAGGTATTGTAACCATGGATATAATATGTCTAAACATATAAAGGTAAGGTATTGTAACCATGGATATAATATGTCTAAACATATAAAGGTAAGGTATTGTAACCATGGATATAATATGTCTAAACATATAAAGGGAAGGTATTGTAACCATGGATATAATATGTCTAAACATATAAAGGGAAGGTATCGTAACCATGGATATAATGTGTCTAAACATATAAAGTGAAGGTATTGTAACCAAGGATGTGTCTAAACATATAAAGGGAAGGTATTGTAACCATGGATATAATATGTCTAAACATATAAAGGGAAGGTATTGTAACCATGGATATAATATGTCTAAACATATAAAGGGAAGGTATTGTAACCATGGATATAATGTATCTAAACATATAAAGGGAAGGTATTGTAACCATGGATATAATGTGTCTAAACATATAAAGGGAAGGTATTGTAACCATGGATATAATATGTCTAAACATATAAAGGTAAGGTATTGTAACCAAGGTTATAATGTGTCTAAATGCATATACCAGCTTAAACCACCCAGAAGTATTAGGAGAATATACCAGCTGAATGTTATTGTCTTACAGTCATGTGGTCTTGTAAAAAATCTAGCCTTGATGACTCACATCACAACAGACCACGAGGAAACGCCAATCATACGTCTAGCTTTTAACCTTGGTGTAGAGGATATACAGCTACTCAGTGGCGAGGAAATGACCAGTCCAAAAGTCTATCTCGTCTTTCTTAATGGTGAGTGGTCACTTTTGAGGGAATGATTTAAATTGTCAAGAGGTCTTCCTCACATTTCTTAATATTAATGGTCAAAGTTCTGTAGTTTTGTTCCATGATGAAGGGTTAGCAGGAAGGGAATTATCAAGTGTCTTCCTTGTCCTCCTTAATGATAAAGAATCAATTTTCCAGGTAATATACTTGGTGTGATCCGTGACCATAAGAAGTTGGTGCGGACGTTCCGGTTGATGAGAAGGGCTGGGTTTATTGATGAGTTTGTGTCCGTGTGTACTAACCAATCACATCGCTGTGTCTACATATCTACTGATGGTGGAAGACTCTGTCGGTATGTACTGACACTGATCTCTTTAACTGAAAATTTCAAGTTTTTAACTTCTCCAAGGTCCATTGGTCATGTGAACTTGCTGAACTGAAACATTAAGAATATTTAGGATCCGATTTTTCCAGCACATATATTGTTTTACAGCTGATATTGTGATTTGGTGTTGTTCTATTAACAGACCATATATCATTGTCAAGGATGGACGTCCACTGGTTAAACAGAAACATATTGAGGAACTCACTCAGGGATTCAGGTAAATCTGTCTTATATTTAGGAGCTCACCCAGGGATTCAGGTAAATCTGTCTTACATTGAGGAGCTCACCCAGGGATTCAGGTAAATCTGTCTTATATTGAGGAGCTCACCCAGGGATTCAGGTAAATCTATCTCCCCAGTCTGATATTAAAGAGGGTTTCCAATAACTCAGAAAAATCCGCCTTTAGTTAGAAATCTCATGGATCCCATTTCAAGAATACTGAGAAGCTCAGCCATATTTTCAGGGAAGTTCTTAATAAGGCTTACACCTTGTAATTAAATGCAGTTTCCAGTAAACTACCTTGGGCTTGAGGTACTATTCTCCAGGTAAGATTAATCAAATCTTCAGGTGACAGTGGTTAAGAGCTAAATATAAGAAAAGCCATTTCATTTGAGTAAGACTGTCTCTGAAGGTTTTGGGTGAAACTGTCGGTCATTGAAGGAAAATTAGACATGTAGCATAGTCATTTATATATTATAGTCTTGTTCTTTCAATTATTTTGATCTTTGTCTTGTGAAAAATTGTTATCTCAATTACTGTATCTGTCAGCTACATGATACATGTGCTCTTTTAAACAATATTGTAATCATCATTCTGATGTTTTGTATAGCATATAACCATAAGTCTTCAGGAACAGTTAGTACTGGTCAACAATAACGACTGTAACACAATGTTGTACAGTGTTCCTTACAACAGTACCATCTGACAACACAGTGTTGTACAATGTTGTACAATGTTCCTAAAACAGTGCTGTCTGACAACACAATGTTGTACAATGTTGTACAATGTTCCTTAAAACAGTGCCATCTGACAACACAATGTTGTACAATGTTCCTTACAACAGTACCATCTGACATCACAATGTTGTACAATGTTCCTTATTGCCTTATTTCCAACTACAGATGACAACACAATGCTGTACAATGGTCCTTATTGCCTTATTTCCTACTACAAATGACAACACAATGTTCCTTATTGCCTTATTTCCTACTACAGATGACAACACAATGTTATACAATGTTCCTTATTACCTTATTTCCTACTACAGATGACAACACAATGTTGTACAATGTTCCTTATTGCCTTATTTCCTACTACAGATGACATCACAATGTTCCTTATTGCCTTATTTCCAACTACAGATGACAACACAATGTTATACAATGTTCCTTATTACCTTATTTCCTACTACAAATGACAACACAATGTTGTACAGTGTTCCTTATTGCCTTATTTCCTACTACAGATGACATCACAATGTTGTACAATATTGTACAATGTTCCTTAAAACAGTACCATCTGACAACACAATGTTGTACAATGTTCCTTACAACAGTACCATCTGACATCACAATGTTGTACAATGTTCCTTATTGCCTTATTTCCTACTACAGATGACAACACAATGTTGTACAATGTTCCTTATTGCCTTATTTCCTACTACAGATGACATCACAATGTTGTACAATGTTCCTTATTGCCTTATTTCCAACTACAGATGACAACACAATGCTGTACAATGGTCCTTATTGCCTTATTTCCTACTACAAATGACAACACAATGTTGTACAATGTTCCTTATTGCCTTATTTCCTACTACAGATGACAACACAATGTTATACAATGTTCCTTATTGCCTTATTTCCCACTACAGATGACAACACAATGTTGTACAATGTTCCTTATTGCCTTATTTCCTACTACAGATGACAACACAATGTTGTACAATGTTCCTTACAACAGTACCATCTGACATCACAATGTTGTACAATGTTCCTTATTGCCTTATTTCCTACTACAGATGACAACACAATGCTGTACAATGTTCCTTACAACAGTACCATCTGACATCACAATGTTGTACAATGTTCCTTATTGTTTTATTTCCTACTACAGAAGTTTTGATGACTTCCTGAAGGAAGGTTTGGTGGAATACCTGGATGTAAACGAGGAAAATGACTGCATGATATCTCTGTATGAAGCAGATATAAACAGGTAAAAACTTGTAACTGTAGGAGGTGTTTTCTGTCTAGTTCTACCTCCTGTCAATGCTGCATTAATTAATTATCTAACCACTAATTCACCCAAACAACCATGAGGCTAGAGGTCAGGATGTCTGACCTTTACCATTGAAGTGATTCCAGGATTACTCAAATCAGTGACCATAACCATGTCCATTGAAGTAAAATGTGTGAAAAGATTGGAACAATCTTAACATGTAGAGTCATAACATGTAACGTTAGCTATTAAGATTGATAAATATTAAAAGACATTCAATTTCATCAAAGCAAAGCATTAAAATTATTTCATTTATAAATACCTATTTCATATAAGGTTACGTATCTGAGATTTCTGTAGATATCACAGTGTACCAGCAGTAGAACACTCTGTGACTTATACTGTAATAATGATTTAGGTTACAAATCTGAGATATCTGTAGATATCACAGTGTACCAGCAGTAGAACACTCTGTGACTTATACTGTAATAATGATTTAGGTTGCATATCTGAGATATCTGTAGATATCACAGTGTACCAGCAGTAGAACACTCTGTGACTTATACTGTAATAATGATTTAGGTTGCATATCTGAGATATCTGTAGAAATCAGTGTACCAGCAGTAGAACACTCTGTGACTTATACTGTAATAATGATTTAGGTTACATATCTGAGATATCTGTAGATATCACAGTGTACCAGCAGTAGAACACTCTTGGACTTATACTGTAATAATGATTTAGGTTACATATCTGAGATATCTGTAGATATCACAGTGTAACAGCAGTATAACACTCTGTGACTTATATACTGTAATAATGATTTAGGTTACAAATCTGAGATATCTGTAGATATCACAGTTTACCAGCAGTAGAACACTCTGTGACTTATACTGTAATAATGATTTAGGTTACATATCTGAGATATCACAGTGTACCAGCAGTAGAACATTCTGTGACTTATACTGTAATAATGTCTTAGGTTACATATCTGAGATATCTGTAGATATCAGAGCTTGTCAACAGTAGAACACTCTGTGACTTATACTGTAATAATGTTTTAGCTTACATCTCTGAGATATCTGTAGATATCAGAGCTTGTCAACAGTAGAACACTCTGTGACTTATACTGTAATAATGTTTTAGCTTACATATCTGAGATATCTGTAGATATCACAGTGTACCAGCAGTAGAACACTCTGTGACTTATACTGTAATAATGTTTTAGGTTACATATCTGAGATATCTAGATATCAGAGTTTGTCAACAGTAGAACACTGTGACTTTTACTGTAATAATGCTGTGTTAACCTTTAAGTTTAGTTAAAATCTTTTCAAGACATATCTTTTTTACTGTGATGTATAGACTGAAGTACAATTTACATGTTTGAATGGCAGACTACTGTGTAATAAGGGTGTGATTGTTTACCATACATTGACCTCTCACCTTACGTAAAAATTAACTTGAGGTTTGCAATACTACGAAGGATTGTTGACTCTGTTTCTAAAACATTAGTCTCAAGTTAGTCAGCCATTCGAAGTGTTGATCTGGTGAGCCTGTAGTTTACCTACACTTCTCTCAGGATTTGTTTCATTCTTTGCCTGTGGAATTTTGTGGTGTTTATTAATTCTCTTTCAGCCTTAATAGGCTTCATATAGCATGAAGTTATGTATTTTATTCAAAGATACGTATTGTTTACTGTTGAAGGGAGACAACCCATCTGGAGATAGAACCATTTACCATATTAGGAGTGTGTGCAGGGCTGATCCCCTACCCACATCACAACCAGTCTCCCCGTAATACCTACCAGTGTGCTATGGGAAAACAGGCCATGGGTAAGACACAGTTAATCATGGTAGGCTATGGGTAAACTGACCTTGGGTAAGTCACTGTTAATCATGGTAAGCTATGGGTAAACAGACCATGGGTAAGTCAGTTAATCATGGTAAGCTATGGGTAAACAGACCATGGGTAAGTCACAGTTAATCATGGTAAGCTATGGGTAAACAGATATTGTGTAAGACACAGTTAATCATGGTAAGCTATGGGTAAACAGACCATGGGTAAGTCACTGTTAATCATGGTAAGCTATGGGTAAACTGACCTTGGGTAAGTCACTGTTAATCATGGTAAGCTATGGGTAAACAGACCTTGGGTAAGTCACAGTTAATCACGGTAAGCTATGGGTAAACAGACCATGGGTAAGTCACAGTTAATCACGGTAAGCTATGGGTAAACAGACCATGGGTAAGTCACAGTTAATCATGGTAAGCTATGGGTAAACAGACCTTGGGTAAGTCAGTTAATCATGGTAAGCTATGGGTAAACAGACCTTGGGTAAGTCAGTTAATCATGGTAAGCAATTTTTTTATTTCATGTAATTACATTCAGGGAGGAAATAGAAAAGAAGGAGAAAATTCAATACTGAGAGAACATGTTAAGTCCAAACAATGACAGACATCGAGATCTTTCTGGGATGTCTTGTCTGTTGTAGAGTTGTGGATTTAAGTAATCAGATTGTATCACATATTGATTTCTGCACCAAAGCCATTTATGTATCTTGTATATATAAACAAATACCTTTGTTATCAGGTACCATTGGCTACAACCAAAGGAACAGAATTGACACACTGCTCTACCTGTTGTGTTACCCCCAGGCCCCGCTCGTTAAGTCTAAGGTGAGTTATCACATGATACAGGGTTTCTAAAGTTTAGGTGCCTCCAGCTATTTCTTCTTTAGTCAAAGATGAACTGCCCAGGCCTGATGTGTTTGACCTTAAATTTTAGATATATGTACCCCCAGACCCAAATAAATAGGTCATACTCTGGCTAAATGAGTTTTAGGTGAGTTATATCCACACTGTACTAAAGTCTCATTAGAGTTAAAAGCAGACTGCCCTAAATAAATGTCTAAATAAGGTGAGTCCCACTGACTCGAAGTAAATAAATCTCAGATGAGTGATCTCCAGGTCACGCTAAATAAGTGTTAAGCAAGCTACTCACAGACTCCAAATAAATGTGGCAAACCCTCTGTCAATTGAATAAATATTGTTGAATCCTTTCTAGTTATATGAAATTTTACTGGTAAAGAAAAATTAGAGTTTGAACTTTCAGAATAGACATTGCCTAAAATCACAACAAAATGTAACAACTGATTGATAATAGACTGTTCTGAAAAAATCTCTAAATAAAATTATGATTATGTTTTGAGACACTTAGTTTACATGTTCATCTTCTGTTGAAAATCACAGGTTATATTTGATTCTTCTTTACATTCGATATTATAGATGAGAAATAAAGTAGACGACTTGAGTATAACCTCAGGATATTCAAACAATTCAGATTGTAAATGTTTTAGTGAAACAAGACCACAAAGGTTTTGAACTATCACTTGACAGAACATTATGTTTTTTATTGAAATAAAATTGTGTTCTAATTACCTGCCTGTTAGAACTGACTTGAAGTTTACATTATGTCTAATGTCACCCTCAAACTTCAATCCAATTAATCTGTATGAGTTGCACAAGGCTTCATTATTAATCCTGAAAAAGAATCAGGATGGTATTGCCTTCTCTGTAAAAGCCATTGTATCTGATCTTATGATTGTTTTATTATAATACTTTCTAAAATGTTGTGTCTAAAACCAGAGAAAATTGATCATATTGACTGACAACTATAGGTCAAAAATATAAATGTTCACCTGTTGGTAAATAAAATTTGTGGTATTTTTTCAGACAATTGAGCTGATTCACTTTGACAAGTTACCTGCAGGACAAAATGCCACTGTTGCTGTGATGAGTTACAGTGGCTATGATATAGAGGATGCTCTCATCCTCAATAAGTCTTCACTAGATAGAGGTAGGTCTCTATCACCTAGGCCCCCTCATTCTTAAATTGTGTCCTACAAACTTCTGGCCTAAAGTCCTAATCTTTGACCTAGATTCTGAACCTCTGACTTAGATTCCGAATCTCTGACCTAAATGCCTACTCTCTGACCTAAATGCCTAATCTCTGACCTAGACTCTCAATCTCTGACCTAAATGCCTAATCTCTGACCTAGACGCTTATTCTCTGACCTAAATGCCTAATCGCTGATCTAGATTCTCAATCTCTGACCTGAATACCTAATCTCTGATAAAAATGCCTAATCTCTGACCTAGATTCTCAATCTCTGACCTGAATACCTAATCTCTGACCTTAAAGCCTAATCTCTGACCTAGATTCTCATTCTCTGACCTTAAAGCCTAATCTCTGACCTAGACGCTCATTCTCTGACCTAAATGCCTAATCACTGACCTAGACTCTCAATCTCTGACCTAAATGCCTAATCTCTGACCTAGATGCTCGTTCTCTGACCTAAATTCCTAATCGCTGACCTAGATTCTCAATCTCTGACCTGAATACCTAATCTCTGATAAAAATGCCTAATTTCTGACCTAGACTCTCAATCTCTGACCTGAATACCTAATCTCTGACCTTAAAGCCTAATCTCTGACCTAGATTCTCATTCTCTGACCTTAAAGCCTAATCTCTGACCTAGATTCTCATTCTCTGACCTAAATGCCTAATCGCTGACCTAGACTCTCAATCTCTGACCTAAATGCCTAATCTCTGACCTAGATGCTCATTCTCTGACCTAAATTCCTAATCGCTGACCTAGATTCTCAATCTCTGACCTGAATACCTAATCTCTGATAAAAATGCCTAATCTCTGACTGACTCTCAATCTCTGACCTGAATACCTAATCTCAATCTCTGACCTGAATACCTAATCTCTGACCTTAAAGCCTAATCTCTGACCTAGATTCTCATTCTCTGACCTTAAAGCCTAATCTCTGACCTAGATTCTCATTCTCTGACCTAAATGCCTAATCTCTGACCTAGACGCTCATTCTCTGACCTAAATGCCTAATCTCTGACCTAGATTCTCAATCTGTGACCTTAAAGCCTAATCTCTGACCTTAAAGCCTAATCTCTGACCTAGATTTCTATCATCTTTACCTGAAGATATAAGGTTTGAAATAATGATATTGTAATGACATTTCATTTTCCTATCTGACATTTTACAACCTAGATCAGACCTAAATCATAACCCTGAATCTTTATCTTGAGGACTTTTATCATAACATTTTATCTTTTTTAATTTTATTTTTGTGACCACAGGATTTGGAAGGTGTCTTGTCTACAGAAAACAGGCATGTACCCTAAAACGCTATGCCAATCACAGTTTTGACAAAGTGATGGGACCAATGTTAGATGCTACTACACATCGACCGGTCTGGAGGCACAGCATTCTCGACATGGATGGTATCTGTTCCCCAGGTAACTATGGTAACCTTGTAGGAGTGTTGTTTTGTTCATTAAATAATAAAATTGTATAGCTGTAAAGGACACTCATCATCTGTTCAGGTTTTTATTATAATTATATAACACGCACCATTTATCTTACCCTCTCAGTAACAGTATAATCAGCCATTATCTTTGTATCTTGATTGTATTTACCTTTTTGAGAATTAATAAATCATGATCTCTGATTACAGGTGAAAAAGTTGAAAGTAAACAAGTTATGGTAAACAAGTACATGCCCACTGTGACTATGAATCCCCTCCAGAGCCCCTCTGGACAGGCTCAGCAACCAGAATACAGAGATGTCCCAATTACGTGAGTCACATCATTAGAATCCTTAATTCTGGCTCCACCTGAGTATAGGAATGTGTTGACCTCTCCAGACAGAGTAATCAGAGTATAGGGACCTCCCCGTCATGTATAATGAACCCACTTATTTCTCCAGACTGACTTGGCAGTTAGAGAACAGGGATCTCCCCGTCATGTATAATGAACCCACCTATTCCTCCAGACTGACTTGGCAGTTAGAGAACAGGGATCTCCCCATCATGTATAATGAACCAACCCACCCCTTTAGACCCCCTGCAGACTGACTCAGCAGTCAGAGTATAGGGATTTCTCCATCGTGTATTATGAACCAACACACCCCTATAGACTCCCTCCAGACTGACACAGCAATCAGAGTATAGGGACCTCCCCATCGTGTATAATGAACTAACCCACCCCTATAGACCCCCTCCAGACTGACACAGCAATCAGAGTATAGGGACCTCCCCATCGTGTAAAATGAACTAACCCACCCCTATAGACCCCCTCCAGACTGACACAGCAATCAGAGTATAGGGACCTCCCCATCGTGTATAATGAACCCATTCACTCATTCAGACCCTCCAGATTGACTCAAAGCCCAGAGTATAGAGATGGTCCCTCCTTATCAGCAGCCCCTTGAGACCAGCAGTTACAAACATCTCGTATCACATTAATTTCTTCCATAGGTACAAGGGAGCAGAGCCATCTTACATAGAAAAGGTTCTCATCACCTCCAACCCAGAGGAAGCTTTTTTAATCAAGATGCTGCTAAGACAGACAAGACGACCAGAAATAGGTGACAAGTTCAGTAGTCGACATGGACAGAAAGGGTGAGTTACTCAAATCAAATTACTGTTTTAGTAAACCTAGACTTATGAGATGAGTACTGTAGAATACACAGATCAAACAGATGGGTAATTCTATCACTGTAGTTCTGAGATGAGAAGGGGCAGGTAACTCTAGCATTGTATTATAGATTATTGTGAATGTAAAGGATGTAATGGAGATGTTGTTATTTCAGTGTGTGTGGACTGATTGTACCGCAGGAGGATATGCCTTTCACAGATCTGGTAAGTAATGGCTTCTAGTATCAAACATAGAAAACATAAACTAATCTCAGAAGTGGTTTGTGTTCTTTACTGAAGTAAAACTGATCCTGACACAGAGAAGTGGTCTGTTCTTTACTGAAGTAAAACTAATCCTGACACAGAGAAGTGGTCTGTTCTTTACTGAAGTAAAACTGATCCTGACACAGAGAAGTGGTCTGTTCTTTACTGAAGTAAAACTGATCCTGACACAGAGAAGTGGTCTGTTCTTTACTGAAGTAAAACTGATCCTGACACAGAGAAGTGGTCTGTTCTTTACTGAAGTAAAACTGATAATATCCAACATTTTTCTGTAGCTAGCTAGATTTAACTCTGATGTGTCCTAACAGTCTTAATTTAGGTGATAATAGAGAAAGTGAGATTATTTTGTGTGCTGGGTATATGGCTGTAGAGTGTTATGTAAAAGAAGTTAATGATAATAAAGAAAGTGAGATTATTTTGTGTGCTGGGTATGTGGCTGTAGAGTGTTATGTAAAATAAGTTAGTGATAATAAAGAAAGTGAGATTATTTTGTGTGCTGGGTATGTGGCTGTAGAGTGTTATGTAAAATAAGTTAGTGATAATAAAGAAAGTGAGATTATTTTGTGTGCTGGGTATGTGGCTGTAGAGTGTTATGTAAAATAAGTTAGTGATAATAAAGAAAGTGAGGTTATTTTGTGTGCTGGGTATGTGGCTGTAGAGAGTTATGTAAAATAAGTTAGTGATAATAAAGAAAGTGAGGTTATTTTGTGTGCTGGGTAGGTGGCTGTAGAGTGTTATGTAAAATAAGTTGATAGTCTGGATCACTTGATCTTTAACTAACAGTTTTACTATTCTCTGTTTTTTTTTCTATTTCAGGGAATTTGCCCAGATATTGTGAGTGATTTTTCTTTTTCTGGTCCCAAACTTTTCTCTTTTATCACTTAAAAGAAGGTTTTCCACAAAGAGAACCATAAGCTAACAGTACTGTTAGAACTAAAATGGAGAAACACCGTCTTCAGGCAAACTTGTGAAAACAAAATGGAGATGATTAATGAGAAATATGTCATAATGATAATGTCTGTTTAGATCAATAATGCAGGGGAGATAACTGTACCTTTTCCAATAATTTCACTGTCTACACAGTGGTTTGAGAGTTTATACCATTATATAAATGATTACAAAATCCAACAAAAGTCAATATTTGTCTGTTCTCCACAGATAATGAATCCCCATGGTTACCCCTCAAGAATGACAGTTGGAAAACTGATGGAACTACTAGGTAGTAAAGCAGGTGTACTTGATGGCAAATTTCACTACGGTACAGGTAAGTAGTGAACTCTCCAACATGTACGTCATCATTAAACCACTGTAACGTAAAACCTAAATCTCTCTTCAATCTATCATATAGTTCTCCTAAAACTAAACGTGAGGCTGCATCACCTTGTAAAATGATCTGATATCTTTGTGTGATGGTTTGTAAGATATAGATCCTGTTGTGTGTTGTCAGCATTCAGTGGAGATAAGGTAGAGGACTTGTCTGCTGATCTGATCCGTCATGGCTTTAACTACCTCGGGAAAGACTACGTCACCTCTGGCATCACAGGGTAGGTCATATTTACACCTTAACAAGTCACCCCTGACATCACAGATAGGTCATACTGGTCAGATTGTGGATCAGCTTTCGATCAACTTCCTGTCCTTGATTAATCAACTTACAATAAATCTAGTATTCACCAGATGATTTTCAATTTATTTTTAAAATTGTTGCCTGCAAGAAATATCCTGGTTTATGTTTGAGACTTGCTAAATTTTGACATTTTTTGGTCTATTTCGTGATTTAGTAGTTTTCAAAGAAATGCTTTTGAATAAACTCCTTGGTATTCTGAAATAATAACATGACTGGCTGATGTGCGACTGTTTCGACAGGGAACCTCTGTCAGCATACATCTACTTCGGCCCAATCTACTACCAGAAGTTAAAACACATGGTAATGGATAAGATGCACGCCCGTGCCAAAGGACCCCGTGCAGTGCTGACACGACAACCAACTGAGGGTCGTTCTCGTGATGGTGGTCTCAGACTCGGGGAGATGGAGCGTGACTGTCTCATTGGTTACGGAGCAAGGTAAGGACTAACATGACTGTCTCATGGTTACAGGACCAGGTTTAGGACCAGTATGACTGTCTCATTGGTTACAGGACCAGGTTTAGGACCAGTGTGACTGTCTCATTGGTTACAGGACCAGGTTTAGGACCATTGTGACTGTCTCATTGGTTACAGGACCAGGTTTAGGACCAGTGTGACTCTCTCATTGGTTACAGGACCTGTCTCATTGGTTACAGGAGGTTTAGGACCAGTGTGACTGTCTCATTGGTTACAGGACCAGGTTTAGGACCAGTGTGACTGTCTCATTGGTTACAGGACCAGGTTTAAGACCAGTGTGACTGTATCATTGGTTACAGGGCCAGGTTTAGGACCAGTGTGACTGTCTCATTGGTTACAGGACCAGGTTTAGGACCAGTGTGACTGTCTCATTGGTTACAGGTTACAGGACCAGGTTTAGGACCAGTGTGACTGTCTCATTGGTTACAGGGCCAGGTTTAGGACCAGTGTGACTGTCTCATTGGTTACAGGACCAGGTTTAGGACCAGTGTGACTGTCTCATTGGTTACAGGACCAGGTTTAGGACCAGTGTGACTGTCTCATTGGTGACAGGGCCAGGTTTAGGACTGTGTCTTCTTGTTAGATGTTGTTCTATGGCCAAGATTATAATGTTAAATCTGTACCACTGCTAAGATGAAGGGCTACAAAGTTTGTTCAAATATAAGTATTGACAAACTATGACTGCCACAGGTGTGGCAATGTATTAAACCAACTTCTACTTGAAAACCAAACAGCCAAGGATCATGATATTGGACCTTGCATGCTAGGACAAATCAATGACCTTCAATTATTGTCAAGGTCCTAGGGACCCAATTTATGAGATATTTTAACAATTTCTTACTAATCATGGGGTGGAAGGGATGGGATTCTATGGTGAAATGGAAGAAATTCTTTATAATCCTTCCTCTGTTTGAATGTCAGGATTCTGTCAAAATTTGGTGAGAAACAGGATTGCATGGTAATTCTTAGTTGAAGTTGAATCAGTTTCAATTTAGTCTGAAGCATCCTGTGGCAGGAGGGATCAGGTACAACAGGGAGATAGAGCAAATTCTTTAAAATCCATCTTCAGGAGAAATGTCAAGATTCTTTTTCAATTTGATCAGAAGCAGTGATAGGTAATGCAGAATCAGTTTAGAATAAATGGTGGGACTTGATTCCCTGGAGTGGTGAGACAGGGCTACCATAGGGAAATATATGGAAATGTTTTTGTTTTCGTGTGATAACTTGAGTTTCCTTGGATCCATCAAACTGCAGACAGTGCTTCCTTATTGTAAGTGCTTGAATCAGATTGCTTTTTCAGCTTCAAGGTCAAAGATCAAGGCCACAGTTACTATAAATTGAAATCAGTTTCCATATGAAAAAATAGAGTTTGCTTTGGCCAATCTAACCCAAACTTAATACAGTACTTCCTTACTAAAGTGTTTGCTTAGGATTGCTTTACAGTATTGAAGGTCAAAGTTCAAGGTCACTGTTAATGTAATTCGAAAATCAGTTTCCCTGCATAGTTCCAATTTGCTTTGGCCAGTCAAAATCAAACCTCATACACTGCTTCCAACAAAAATGGCTTGCTTTAGATTGCTTTTCAGGTGCCAGAGTCAGTGGTCCACACTACTTCCCTAGGGCCAATCAAACTCAAACTTCATACATAGATTGCTTTTCAGGTGCCAGAGTCAGTGGTCCACACTACTTCCCTAGGGCCAATCAAACTCAAACTTCATACATAGATTGCTTTTCAGGTGCCAGAGTCAGTGGTCCACACTACTTCCCTAGGGCCAATCAAACTTCATACAGTGCTTCCTTACTTAAAGTGTTTGTTAGGTATTACTTTTCTGATCCAGAAGTCAAAAGTTGAGGTTATTTTTGTGAAAATCAAGTAGTTTAACTGTATAATGTGACAGTTAAATAGTTGATCTATGTAGTGTGACTGTGAAATAGTTGAGCTATGTGCTGTGACTGTTAAATAGTTGAGCTGTTTACTGTGACTGTTCAATAGTTGAGCTATGTACTGTGACTGTTAAATAGTTGAGCTATGTACTGTGACTGTTAAATAGTTGAGCTATATACTGTGACTGTTAAATAGTTGAGCAATATATAGTGATTGTTGTATAGTTGAGCTATATTCTGTGACTGTTAAATAGTTGAGCAATATATAGTGACTGTTATATAGTTGAGCTATATAATGTGACAGTTAAATAGTTTAACTGTATAATGTGACAGTTAGATAGTTGAGCTATGTGCTGTGACAGTTAAATAGTTGAGCTATATACTGTGACTGTTAAATAGTTGAGCTATATACTGTGACAGTTAAATAGTTTAACTGTATAATGTGACAGTTAAATAGTTGAGCTATATACTGTGACAGTTAAATAGTTGAGCTATATACTGTGACTGTTAAATAGTTGAGCTGTTTACTGTGACTGTTCAATAGTTGAGCTATGTACTGTGACTGTTAAATAGTTGAGCTATATACTGTGATTGTTCAATAGTTGAGCTATGTACTGTGACTGTTAAATAGTTGAGCTATGTGCTGTGACAGTTAAATAGTTTAACTGTATAATGTGACTGTGAAATAGTTGCACTATATACTGTGACAGTTAAATAGATTAACTGTATAATGTGCCTGTGAAATAGTTGAGCTATATAATGTGACAGTTAAATAGTTTAACTGCATAATGTGACAGTTAGATAGTTGAGCTATATACTGTGACAGTTAAATAGTTAAGCTATATATAGTGACTGTTATATAGTTGAGCTATATACTGTGACTGTTAAATAGTTGAGCTGTTTACTGTGACTGTTAAATAGTTGAGCTATGTGCTGTGACAGTTAAATAGTTGAGCTATATACTGTGACAGTTAAATAGTTGAGCTATGTAGTGTGACAGTTAAATAGTTGAGCTATGTAGTGTGACAGTTAAATAGTTGAGCTATATACTGTGACAGTTAAATAGTTGAGCTATATACTGTGACAGTTAAATAGTTGAGCTATATATACTGTTATTTACAGCTATGTATACTTTTAGTTGAGCTGTGATTTCCAGTGAAATGTGACTGTTAAATAGTTGAGCTATGTGGCTGTGACTGTTAAATAGTTGAGCTATATACTGTCAGTTAAATAGTTGAGTCTGTAGTGTGACTGTGTAAATAGTTGATCCCTATATACTGCATGTAAATTGCTGTTTCAGGAACTCCAGTCCATGAACATAGCTCCAAGACTTTCCCTGAAACGTTACAACCAAGTCTAGCCTGGATATATAAATGTGCCAGATGTGAGAGACATGTGCCTACTGTGATGTAGTACTGCTGACGAGTATGAATGTTTTGTGTTGAAAGTCATTGACTTTTCTGCTGAGGTACAGAATCATGTGCAAGAGTGATATCATTAATGTGAAGTGTCATTGTATCTCATTGTCTGTTAAATAAATAACAGATATCGTAATTTTATTTTTTAACAAATAAAATTGTTGTTGACCATGTGGCTGGATTTGTTGTTGAGATAACCCTGAGAATTTTTGTACGTTCTATGTCCACTGTAGAACCAGATAACACTGAGAATTTCTGTACATTCTATGTCCACTGTAGAATCAGGTAACCCTGAAAATTTCTGTACGTTCTATGTCCAATGTAGAATCAGGTAACACTGAAAATTTCTGTACGTTCTATGTCCAATGTAGAATCAGGTAACACTGAAAATGTCTGTACGTTCTATGTCCAATGTAGAATCAGGTAACACTGAGAATTTCTGTACGTTCTATGTCCAATGTAGAATCAGGTAACCCGGAGAATTTCTGTACGTTCTATGTCCACTGTAGAATCAGGTAACACTGAAAATTTCTGTACATTCTATGTCCACTGTAGAATCAGGTAACCCGGAGAATTTCTGTACGTTCTATGTCCACTGTAGAATCAGGTAACCCGGATAATTTCTGTACGTTCTATGTCCAATGTAGAATCAGGTAACACTGAAAATTTCTGTACGTTCTATGTCCACTGTAGAATCAGGTAACCCGGATAATTTCTGTACGTTCTATGTCCAATGTAGAATCAGGTAACACTGAAAATTTCTGTACGTTCTATGTCCAATGTAGAATCAGGTAACACTGATAATTTCTGTACGTTCTATGTCCACTGTAGAATCAGGTAACACTGAAAATTTCTGTACATTCTATGTCCACTGTAGAATCAGGTAACCCGGAGAATTTCTGTACGTTCTATGTCCACTGTAGAATCAGGTAACCCGGATAATTTCTGTACATTCTATGTCCACTGTAGAATCAGGTAACCCTGAGAATTTCTGTACGTTCTATGTCCAATGTAGAATCAGGTAACCCGGAGAATTTCTGTACGTTCTATGTCCACTGTAGAACCAGATAACACTGAGAATTTCTGTACATTCTATGTCCACTGTAGAATCAGGTAACCCTGAGAATTTCTGTACGTTCTATGTCCAATGTAGAATCAGGTAACACTGAAAATTTCTGTACGTTCTATGTCCACTGTAGAATCAGGTAACACTGAAAATTTCTGTACATTCTATGTCCACTGTAGAATCAGGTAACACTGAGAATTTCTGTATGTTCTATGTCCACTGTAGAATCAGGTAACCCGGAGAATTTCTGTACGTTCTATGTCCACTGTAGAATCAGGTAACCCGGAGAATTTCTGTACGTTCTATGTCCACTGTAGAATCAGGTAACACTGATAATTTCTGTACGTTCTATGTCCAATGTAGAATCAGGTAACACTGATAATTTCTGTACGTTCTATGTCCACTGTAGAATCGGGTAACACTGAAAATTTCTGTACGTTCTATGTCCACTGTAGAATCGGGTAACACTGAAAATTTCTGTACGTTCTATGTCCACTGTAGAATCAGGTAACCCGGAGAATTTCTGTACGTTCTATGTCCACTGTAGAATCAGGTAACCCGGAGAATTTCTGTACGTTCTATGTCCACTGTAGAATCAGGTAACACTGATAATTTCTGTACGTTCTATGTCCAATGTAGAATCAGGTAACACTGATAATTTCTGTACGTTCTATGTCCACTGTAGAATCGGGTAACACTGAAAATTTCTGTACGTTCTATGTCCACTGTAGAATCGGGTAACACTGAAAATTTCTGTACGTTCTATGTCCACTGTAGAATCGGGTAACACTGAAAATTTCTGTATGTTCTATGTCCACTGTAGAATTGGGTAACACTGATAATTTCTGTACGTTCTATGTCCAATGTAGAATCGGGTAACACTGAAAATTTCTGTACGTTCTATGTCCAATGTAGAATCAGGTAACACTGATAATTTCTGTACGTTCTATGTCCAATGTAGAATCGGGTAACACTGAAAATTTCTGTACGTTCTATGTCCACTGTAGAATTGGGTAACACTGATAATTTCTGTACGTTCTATGTCCAATGTAGAATCGGGTAACACTGAAAATTTCTGTACGTTCTATGTCCACTGTAGAATCGGGTAACACTGAAAATTTCTGTATGTTCTATGTCCACTGTAGAATTGGGTAACACTGATAATTTCTGTACGTTCTATGTCCACTGTAGAATTGGGTAACACTGAAAATTTCTGTACGTTCTATGTCCACTGTAGAATCGGGTAACACTGAAAATTTCTGTACGTTCTATGTCCACTGTAGAATCGGGTAACACTGAAAATTTCTGTATGTTCTATGTCCACTGTAGAATTGGGTAACACTGATAATTTCTGTACGTTCTATGTCCAATGTAGAATCGGGTAACACTGAAAATTTCTGTACGTTCTATGTCCACTGTAGAATCGGGTAACACTGA